TTACTTTTAGTAACAAAAGTTCTTTGATTTGTTTTTGAAATTCCTCTTGATCATTTAGGGTATGAGGATTATCTTGAGTTTTTATGGTTATGAAAGGGTTTATTATATTCAATTTTGCTTCGATTTTATTTTTATACTAATGTTTCTGGGGATCTTTTTTTAGAATCTCGGTAGTTTTAGCTAATCGTAAAAGATTATCTAAATTTAATTTAGGATTTTTTAATATAACTTTGTTATTAAGAAAAATCTTTGGTTCATCTAAATGACTAAGAAACATTAAGGCTTCAAAAACATCTTCTAAAAATTCAGTTACATCAAATAAATTTTCTTTTGTAGTTTCTTCAGTCATAGGTAAAGTATTGACATAAGTAATAACTCGTTTTTCTTTTTGAGGAATATAAGGATCTCTAAATAGAATAAAGGTTCATTTATTAAAAAACTATAAACCCATAGGGGTATATAGGAATCCTCTAGTGAGTGAGGTTATAAAATTTAATCCTAAAATAAAATCATAGGTACTGGGAATATTATTAACTACGTAGGTTTGTGGTAAAACAAATTTTTCATTATTAATTAATATAGGAACTTTCTGAACGCAATGTGTTATTAGTAGTTTTTCATTATTATATTGACTCATATTAACATTATAGTTTAATTTTATTAAAACTTCTTCTGGTACTAAATGTTTTTGAATTATACTTTTGGATGCTCCAGTATCCAACATAACTGAGGTTTGAACTAATTTTTCTTTAAATTCTAAAGTTACAGGAAATTGGATTAAACTAGAGGGTTTATATATTGAATCCATGGATTCAACTAAGGTATCTTCTAGCTTACATTCATATTTATAATAGCAATGATTACATAATAGGGTTTTACAATTATCTCTACAGTAATGACCTTATTCTATAGAGGAGTTACATTGTTTACAGTTGTAAGAGGAGAAATGAAACTTAACTGAATCATAATGACATGATGTGTTGCTTATAGTATAAACGAAATCTTCCATAGAATGAAGTCCCTGTTCAAGATCTTCATCAAGATCGAATTCGTTATCTATGCTTTGGATACTATATATGCTTTCATTATCATCGTCCGAATCATAGATACATTCTAATTTATATAATTCTTCTATCTGGTCTTCAATATCTTCGAGGATATTGATTTTCTCTTGAATTCTTTTAATAGGTTTCTATTTATATCGATAGGGGCAATTTGGTCTTATATGACCATGATTATCACAAATAAAACATTTGCAATTTCTTTCTCTAGTGGGTAGAGTGTTAATTTTTCCATCTTTAGAATCTTTATCTTTATTGTCCTTCTTATCTTTGTTTATTTTTTGTTTTTTATACCAGGGTCGCTTTTTATAAGGTATGGGGTTATTTTCGTTATTTTTAATATAAGGTTTTTTACTACGATAGTTTTTATATGTCTTACTTTTTCGCAAATTATATTTCCTAGGTTTGTTTTGTTTATAGGTTTTCTGGGGCATGCAACCGTATTTTGGTAGAAAGTTAAATTGTCTACATGCAAAATAGAATTGCTTCTTAATATGTTTAGACTCTTTTCGTAATTTACATTCTGCTTTTAACATGCTATAAACATGATTCACTCTATCTCCTATGGTTAATCTATCTCTTCGTGGATTTTCTAACATTTTTTTTTCCAAATCTTAGTTCCTATGCTGCCGGGTAATTTCTGAAGATATCTATCAAGTATGGTTTTGTCTCTGATTTTTCCTGTAGCGGCAAAATATTCAAAAAACTTATTGGTTTAATCTTTTATGTATCTAAAGTCACAGATCTATAATAATTCTAAATTACTCAAGGCTTCCTTTTTTGCTTTATTTGAGTTTTTCTAGTAATCGGTCTTCACCTAATAATACTCTTTTGATTAAACTGGTAAACATCTGAATTGTAAAGGTATCCTTTAGGACGGCATAATCATTAGCATAACTAATTTTGTAAGCTTGTCGATAGTCATAGATTGTTACTCTAAGTAAGGTTTCACAATAAGTTAAGGCTTGGGATCTGTTATCAAATTTGGTTAGAATACATGTTCTAATACAATCTTGTTTCTAATTTTCAATTACTCTTGCCCAATCTTGTGGATTGTGTCTAGATATATCTAAAATAGTTCCTATGTGCTGGAATATTTTCATACCTTCTTCGAGTTGGTATCCAGGTAGACGTATCAGGTGTATTTCTATTTTTTACATAAGTTTCTTGTGAGGGTTGTAATCTTTGTCCAGTGCTATAGTCATCATTTGTTCTATTAGTGCTACTAGTTGCATTATGCATTTCTTGATCTACTGATCTTGTAGGTTGAAAGGTAGATCCTTCTGGTTCTTTTCCTTCTCTATGCTCTACTTGTTCTACGACATTTAATTCTTCTTTTAGAGTGTTTAATTCGTGCTTTGTGTAAAAAGATTCAAATCCAACTTTTAATATATTTCTCTTAATATTATCATTATTTCATTCGCCTAGATAAATGCTTTCTATAAGTTGGTAATTTGGCTCAAGATATTTTTCTTTCAAATTCTCTAGCCCAATATTATCAAAATCATGCATTATTTTATCTAGAATTTCATCTTCTAATCTATTATAAAGGACATTTATTTCTTCAAGAGATTCTAATTCTATTAATGTAGTTAAAAAGTCTTCTTGGGTATCATCTACTAAATTATCCTGCCTTTTATAATTACTAAATCTTATAGTTGCTGCTTCACTATTTTTTACATATATCATATTACTTTCAGGGATCTTTTTAGTGGTAATAGTAAGGTTAGGTAATTCCCATTCTATTCCTTCATGGGTAACACTGCTTACTTTTTTAGCTTTTGTCATCAACTATGTCACTGAATTGAGCTTTAAATTTTAGATTATATTGATTAATCGTTTTTCCCATAAATAAAGTATTAACTAATAGGTTTTCAAATTGTCCTGTCATATTATATCCTTTTGTGGATATAACTATCTTAATATGTTTACTGAATTCTCTAGTTGTCATCGTATAATTGGGGATACATCCTATGATGGCTGCGTTAGCTGCTAAATCTATTTCAGCGCTGGCTATTTGTGCTTGTTGATGATTATTCCATCGATCATCATAAATATAAGCAGATGCTCTAGTTCCTTCTTCTGCTTTGTTTGCCGATCATTATTACACCCAAATGCATAAGTTCTAAATTATTTTTATTCAACTCTTGACAAGCCTCTGATGTTATAAGGTCTAAAATAACCAGATTGTTAACTGCACTTATTTTTCTGTGGCTAAGGTGATTATATATCTTGTTCTGGAAATCTAATAAATTATTGGAATAAAGATTGACTTTATTTGGTACTTTCTTCATTCTTTGTTATATATAATTTTTAGCATTGTGCTCATTATCATATAGATCTTATACCCTCATCATTTCTTTGGCTTTTCTAAGGATAATGTCCATTCTCTATGTGGTTGTAAAAGGTTTATACGCTTGGTTGTTCGGGCTGAGACAGGATTAGTTGTTAACTTTATATCTTTTATTTTATCTGATAGTTCAGATAATTCTTTAAATGATTCTCTGGGAATAATTTCTTGTATTACTTCTAATTTTTTTTCAAGTTTATTAACTTTTTCAGATAACTGAAGTAATAACTGGATTAAAAAGTTATTTTATCTAATATGTATATTAGTTGATTGTACGTCCGTCTTAAAACTTGTAAATCCTATAGGGTATTTGTCTATTTTATAAAGTTCTGCTAAAGCTGCTAAATAATCAGGATTACTAGTGCTTATAAAATTATTGTAATAATTTTTGAATATCAGTTTTAAGCGACTTTAAATAATTTATAATTATTTTTTGATTTTCAAAAATATTTTTAATATCATTATTTGTATCCTTAATGGCTACCAATATTATCTTGTTATCTAAATTATTTGGACTAAAATTTTGCACTACTTGTTCCTTAATATAATCAAGATTTTCTCCTAGTCGTTTTATACAGTTATCGAGGTTATTAAAATCTATTCTATTCATAAACCTAACTAAAATCTTTGTTTTCTAACTTATAAAGTATTCTGTATTTTAATAATTTTAGATCTAAGTTCGTCTATTCTACATTGTAGGTTGCGTGTTGTGTCTTCTAATTTTTGTGCTATGTAACAGTTCCTAAGTGCTGTTTGACAAAATTCTAGGACTTGCACAAATTGTTCTTTGTGTAAATTGTGCATAAAATAAGCTTTAAGGATGAAAATATAAAATTCAATTTATAAAAGAGTTCAACTAGAAATTAATTCATATATTTATAAATATGCCAACTACGTTGATGAATTGATAATATGCTTTTGTTACTATCACTTTTCTATAAAATTCCCTAAACAAAGACTTGGAGTGGAAATTTGCATGAGGCACAGGTCATCGTCATGTGACGGTCTGGGTCCGCAAAATGAATACATATATATATACAAAGACTTGGAGTGGAAATTAAAGCATGAGGCACAGGTCATCATCATGTGACGGTCTGGGTCCACAACATAAATACATATATATATAAACAAAGACTTGTAGCGGAAATTAAAGCATGATATCCAATGCACGCGTCAGATTGAATATGCCATCCAATCATAGCTGTACAAATATATTTATATACAAAGACGTACGAGTAAATGTGTGGGTACAACATATATATATATATATAAACAAAGACTTGGAGTGGAAATTAATTAAAGCATGTGCTAATTAGGGTAGTTATAACAATAGTTATATTTTCATATATAACAACAGGAATATATATATTAATATAGAGCTATACCACTTGTACAAACCCCACCCCTAATTAGACAGCAAGAAATTAGAATATCCAAAACCTTCAACCCTAGCTTAATTGTTTCGAGTACTTTCAATATTATGGCTTCGTCCATCTCTTCCCCTTTTGAATTGTACCCAGTCCCACCAGGTACGTGGATATATTATATATTTTGTAAATATATACTCTTAGCGATCATACTTACGTGAATATCCATATATGTATTGAATTTATGTGAATATCTATTTTTGTAAATATTTATGCGAGTCATGTTCCTCAAACATGATGATTTACGGTTCTCCAAACATAACACTTTTCATGGAACGGAGGGAGTAATTTTTTGAAAATTGAGCTGAACAAGTTTTGTTGTTGTTTTTTTTTTTAGGGAGTAATTTATTGAAAATTGAGCTGAACAAGCAAAAGACAGCAGTGAAGAATGATAATCTATGCAAATACCTACCACTGTACAGGGCTGCAATCAATGACGACTGGAAGGGTGCGGAAGAGTTTCTGAGAAATGAACCGGATGCGGTAAGGACCGCGATCACAGGCGCATTGGAAACAGCACTGGTGGTAGCGATAAAGTGTGGGAAGGGAAACCAAGTGGTGAAGAAATTGTTGAAGGACATGACGAAAGATGACGTGGCACTAGTTGATGGAAATGGCAGCACAGCTCTTCACACTGCTGCAATATGTGGCAACACGGAGGCAGCCAAGTTGTTGGTGGAAAAGAACCCAGACTTGGCCAACATGGAGGACAATACTAAAAATTTGCCTATCCACTACGCTTCTATAATCGGCCGAAGGAGTATGGTTCTCTACTTACTGGATCTCACCAACAAAGAAATACAGCCCAAACTACTCGAGGATGAAAGTGGTGCTATTCTTATTAATGGTCTAATAGCTAGTAATCAGTTCGGTAAGTAAAAATTACAACTATTTTTTTACCTTCCATCACTAGCTACATCAACATATATATATTGACTATATATATATATTACAGATATTGTTATATTGTTGATTAAAAGATACCCTGCGTTGGCATGCATACAAAGCTCTCCAGCACTGGACAGGATTGCTCTCAAAAGATCTGCATTTCCAAGTGGAGCACACTTCAACTTCTGGCAAAGTTTAATCTACTCTTGTTAGTCATCTCTTCATTTCTTTATGTATACCACTTACTTAATTTGTGGTGTTAATTTTTCTTATCTGTTTTGATTATTAATTATTTATACACGAAATGATTATGTATGTGATGAATATCACAAATATGTGGGCCAAAAACAAAAAAAAAGAAAAGAAAGTGATGATCACAATCCGACCGTCTATATCTATATTTATATACTAATTCGTATAAATATATACATGACCTCAGGGGTGGAGGCAACATGTGCCCGGGGGCAGCTGAAGCCTGCCCATGCTGCTCCAATTGATTATTATTATTTTTTTATACATAAATTTATAAAAATTAATAAAATGCCTCTCCTAAAATTAATAAAACGACTCCTCTGCCCCTGAATCCATTAAATATTATTTTATTTTATGCATTTAATTTATAAATGTTTATTAAACATCCCCTTAAAATTTATAAATTATCCCCTACAAAATTATGTATTTCTAAAAACGTATTAATATTATTCATATACTCCTCTATTGGCTATACATATATATATGGATTTTTGGCATTTGCAGAAGAATAATATATGTTACTACTAACTTATGGTTCCCCCCATTTAGATGTTCCCCCGAGGTTAGAAGACTCTGCATATCAAAGTAGTGAAGGAGACATTGAGAATCCAGTCAATAGCGCGGTTTCATTTCGGGCTTATTGTAAGATTTTGATGTTTTGATATCATTTACGCAAATACATTATATATAATATTATTCATATATATATATATATATATATGCGTTAATTATCTATGTCCTTTTTAAAAGGTTATGGGTTGGATATGTGGATTTGAGTACTTTTACCACGGGTAGAAATTAGTTTGTCCTCGTGGCAGTACTACCTCTTTGATCGATCATGACAGGTTTTTGCTTTTGTTGTACATGCAGTGAAGCAAAAGTTGCATCAAATATTCTGGAAACTCACTCAAATGTTAGGTAAGAAATGTGAAAGCACTTCCATCATGTCTGCTTCGAGTGATCAGTTTTCTAATTTACCCATAAAACGCTTAAACACTATTGGTATTGGTGTGAATCTCTCTCACTAAGCGCTGTGTAGTCGTGTAGTAAAGGAACGTACTAGCAGCCAATAGGTAACATATATATATGTGTGTGTGTGTGTGTGTGTGTGTGTGTGTGTGTGTGTGTAGGTATTTCAAATCACTCCATCAATCTTAAGTTCATTTGAATCATGCACAGTGCCACAGATGAAGAAAATTCAAGAGAAAAAACGAGAACATCATCAAGCTCGTCAGCTCCTGGAACTTCTTTGCAAGGAAGTAGTGAAATTAGACTACTCTAAAGCAAAGGAAATATTTCATTCATCTGTACTGATTGCAGCCAAAGTTGGGATTCCTGAAGTTATTGAAGAGACTTTTGCAGTATTTCCTGATGTGATTAATGCTACAAATTCGAAAGGAGATCACATATTCCGTATTGCAATTTTGAACCGGCATGTAAATATTTTCAATCTTATTTATCAATTGAACAGAGAGGTGAGACACTTGATTTTAGCAATCCCAGACTTATCAGATAAGAGTTGTTTAGATCTGGTTGCATGTTTGAAAGATGAGCAAAGTGTCAATCTTAGAGCTGGTGCAGCCGGTGCAGCTTTACAAATGCAACGCGAATTGCAATGGTATAAGGTAATTTCAATTTTATAAAGTGCATAACAATACAATATTAATTTCTTAATATTTAGTTTTTTTTTTTTTTTTTTTCTAAGTTGATTTTCTTAAAGTTAGAAGCTCTCTTGGTTTTCAGTTTTCGCTAATGGATGGATTGTGCATATATTCTGATTTTGATAGTGACGATACTGACCATATCAATCTTGAATTAAAATTGTTAACTATAAAAAATATGAATCCTCACATTTGGACATTGATTTATCAAAACTACCTCCACTAGGGACTAATTAGCAAACCTACCTCCACTAGGGAGGCGTGGTGTAACTCTCCTGTGACGACGAGACAGTATATGAAGGTGAGGAAGCAGACAGTCGCTACCCAAAATTGTTGTCCAAGTTATTTTTGTAAACTATTTTTATAAAAACTGAGATTAAAAAAAATCTATTTTCAAATAGTTTCAATTATTGTTGTCTGAAAATTAAATGCCTTCTGTTTGAAGAGTTGTTGAAAATTATTTCTTCTTTTTTTTTTTCCTTATGTTTATTCGTTTTTTTGCAAAATATGTAAATTATTTCAGGTATTTCCATTATTACAAATAAATAAATAAAAGTTAATCCATATATATATATATATATATATATATATATATATATATATATAATTTTTATGTTACCTTTTTTGACAAAATATAGAAAATACTAAATTTCTTTACACCATCTCATATATATTTTCAATTCTTAACTTATGGTTTGATCAAACGGATATTTAATGCCAAAATCATTCATTTTAATGCAGGAAGTAGAAAAATTTTCATTGGATTACCACAAAGACAACCGAGATCTTGAAAGAGAGGTACCCAGAAAGGAATTTAGCAAGACACATGAAAAGTTGGTCAAAGAAGGAGAGGAATGGATGAAAGACACAGCCAACTCTTGCACAATTGTAGCAGCTCTCATTGTCACTATAGCGTTTGCTGCTGCCATCACTGTACCGGGCGGAAACAATGGCAATAACGGTCATCCAATTTTCTCCAACGACAAAGTTTTTTTAATCTTCAGTCTATCCGATGCACTTGCTCTTTACTCGTCCACTTCTTCTCTACTGGTTTTCTTGTCTATCCTCACTTCGCGCTATGGAGAAGAGGACTTTCTGGAAGTCCTACCCAACAGATTAATTATTGGTTTGGTAACCCTATTCGTATCCATAATATCTATGATGATAGCTTTCGGTGCCACAGTCTACCTAGTGTTTGGGGATAAGAAACCATGGATTTTTGTTCCTATTGCTGTGCTTTCCTGTATACCTGCGACCTTGTTTGTGTCATCACAATTTCCTCTTCTTTTGGACATGATCAAATCTACATATGGCAAAGGCCTTTTCTATCAGCAGAATGATCGTATCCTCTACTAAACCAAATAGAGAGAAGGGGAAAAATTAAAGCTTGTATCGTCTATCAATTTGACATATATATATATATATATATATATATTTAGCAATAGTATTCATAATTTCCTGTTTGTAAGAAGGTTTGGCACATTTCTATTATTGATGCTACGATAAATAATTTGAAGGTTGCATTGTGCCTCCCTCTTACGGTCATATATGGACTTGTGATTCGTCTTCCCATCATGAAATAATCATATGCTTGTCTCAACAAAATAAAGATAAAGATGTTTGATGCTGAACAAAACTTTATGCCATAATCTAATAAAGTATCTATTAATTGTTGACGAGATTTGAATCTAAGTCATATAAAACGAGAGCGAGAGCAACGTTAAGAAAAATTGCGGAACTTAAGTTTGAATGAGTGATTATCAATTGCAGGCATGCTAGGACCGTTAGGTCTAAACGTGTGCCGACTAATTGTATATCGGCTCTTTATTCGCACAGATATAAAAAAGAAAATGGGGGAACAACAATGGAAGAGAATAGAAATAAATCAAAACAGAAATATTTTAAGTTGCGGGGAGGGAAAAAGAAAATCAAAACAGAAAGAATAAAATGAATTATTTTAACATCACCCATCCCTTCAACGCTGAGGAATGATATTTTGAGCGGCAAAATGATAAAAAAACATAGAACTTTCTATTCTCCTCCCACCCACAATGCTATGCACAACTTTTCACTTCTCCCTGTACTCTTACTAAATGCATCACAATTAACTTAGATGTGTCATTTTAACTAGAAAAAATGACTATTGGTCCTTGAATTGAAACATAAAAAGAACTTACTACTACAGGAAGATATCGACGAATGAGAGATTACAAACCGAAGAATGATAAATACTTCCCCTATATCTTGAGGTTTCACTTGATCGAATGAAGTCAAGCTCCTTGAAAGTGACGACCTTACCATATTGGTCTTCCTTTGGACGTTTGCCTGCAGCTTCGGAAAGAAACCATACACTCCAACCATCTCCCTCATAGGTAAACCTCCACAGTAGTCCCATATTGATGGCCAAAGAGACCATCAGAACATGCCTCATTGACACAAACTTCAACATCTTTCTAGCTCTCTAAACCAAGAAATCAACAAGTACAATGGGAGTGATAGATAGATAGCACAATGTTTGACACAATTGGCATCTATATATACAAATATAGTTCCGATCAAACAGAAATCTATGAATAATGGTCTTCCTTTTGAAGGTTTGCCTATGTCTTGATGTTTCACTGCATCAACTAAGCCAAGCCCGTTGTAGGTGAAGACCTTACTATATTGGCCTTCTTTTGACCATTTTGCTTCCGATCCATGTCCCTCATTCGTAAACCCACATTGATGGTCACAATCTGCAAAAAATAATAATAATTAATTAATTAATAATAATTTGTATTTATTTATTAGTATCTCGTCAAGAGAAATTTATAGCATGTAGGATATTTTTTATGAAATGCACTCAAGGAGATTTTTTTTCCCCGTAAAAATTGCATTTGAGCCACTTATTAGTTTTGTGTTGTAACTAATGAGCGTTAAGAGGAATTTATAACATGTAGGATATTTTTTATGAAATGCAAGGAGGTTTATTTTTTTTCCCATAAAAATTGCACTTGAGCCACTTACTAGTTTTGTGTTGTAACTAATGAGTCTTTGTAATTTTTTATTTTAACCTAGTTGCAGTTAGTATCTTTTAGAAATGTTCTAAACTTAATAAAATGTACCAATATTTTATATTTGTCAACAATAACCCTAAGTTGACACCAGAATTCTAAACCAAAACAAAATCTTGAAATAGCTTCAACCAAAAAATTTCTTAAATCTTTAAACTCCTAGGGATGAGTTGCAATACTTTCTACAGTAAACAAAATAACAGTACTCTTTTATTATATTTTTTTTCCTTGAATGAAATAACAGTACCATTCATCCAAAAGAAAAATAAAACCGTTATAAGCAAAACTCTAATCTTGTTCTCTCCAAACACAAAACCGTGATTTCTAAATGTTAATCTCTTCAAACTTTGGGAACCCGTAAATGTTTAATTACTAAAGTACAAAACTCTAAGTTATTAGTAAAAAATATTTATAAAGTTTTTGTTAAATTTTTAATCTCTAATTCTAGTCTCTTTAATGTATGTTTGATCAAAATATGCTAGAACTTGACAAATTTTGCCAAAAATAAATTAACTGTTAGAGATTGGGAAATTGTGGTCGACGACCTTGCCAAAAAGTTGCTAGATCATCCACCACGATTGACAAGATTGAAAAATTTGAGAGAGCTTGAGAGGTAAAAGAGAAAATTTTCACTTTATTTATTTATTTTTTAAAAAAGATTTTATATTTTTATAATATATATATATATATATATATATATTTTCCTAGTTGGTAGTCACGCACACTTATCTCTTATGAGACTTGAATCTCTGACCTCCCTTTGGAAAGTAAAAGCCTGATACCGCTAGACCACTGACCTATTGGTCATATTTTTCTAGTTATAACAAAAGATTAGCCAATGTCATACATTTTGACAATATTTTAATAAAAAAACATGTTAAATTATAATTTTTGTTGTTTTCTTATGAGTTTTTATTACACTATTATTTTCATTTAAATTAGATGAAAGAGTTGAGACTTTCATATACCTACAAATATAAACCACCACCTTCTCAAGTTCAAACTCTCATTTTTTAAGACTCACACACATACTCTATTATCTCTTTACTTCTTATATAGTCCTATTCCTGTACTCGTTCGTGTATATATATCCTCTACTTTTTAAGAGTTTTTGGGTAACAAGATACATAAGAGTCTCAACAAAATGAAGTGTTTACTGACAATTTTTGTGGCCGCTCAAAATCGAAATGTAATAATCCTATTATTAACACAATGGGCAAAAAATGAAAGAATATATATTTTTTGGGGCCTTGTTGGCCCTTAACTGTTTCTTTGAAATGCAATAATATTGCTACTTTTTTTCCCTGGTTAGAATATTGCTAGTTCATTATCAAAATATTTTTTGTTTCCTTTAACCCACCTAAATTTTGAAACATGGAGCACAATATGATTAAACATATTCTTATTCATCCTAAGTTGTTCCATGCGTTTTACGTGACTCAAATAAACTAGATAGTATAAGAACCGGAGAATGGGGCACAATATGGTGGTGTGTGAAACCGGGTTAAGACTAGATAAATAACACCACCTGAACTGAAACTCACTTCTTTACAAATTACTTAATATTCTTATGTTCTAACATCCTGCAACTCTTCCGAGAGATTAGTTCTTATATTAGCCTTATAAAGAATTAAATTAATAACATACTTGAACCTTAAAAATTCTAGAAGTTGAAAGACAGATACATAGTGGTGTGTGAAACCAGGTTAAGACTAGATAAATAACACCACCTGAATTGAAACTCACTTCTTTACAAATTACTTAATATTCTTATGTTCTAACATCCTGCAACTCTTCCGAGAGATTAGTTCTTAAATTAGCCTTATAAGGGAATTAAATTAATAACATACTTGAACCTTAAACATACTGTGCAGGTGCATAGAATCATCATTTATACAGAATTGGTTCTGCAATCTTTCTACTAATCAAACATTGTATATAAAGTTTGACCTTTATAAAAAAATAAAAAATTATTTATTTCTAAACGAATAGAAATATCAAACAGGGCACAACCATAAATAAGGAGATTCGCAAGATTACATTATCAAATCAGGATGAGTAAAAAACTGGCTTTGTTTTGCTACCCTTTTAGAAAGATAAAAAACAATTGAAGGTGAGAGTGGAGTTCCACACCTAGTGGGCATTTGTTGGTGTGTGAGTATTAACCTAACCGGAAAAAAATAATAATAATAAAAATATAAAAAAAGTTAGCAAAGTCACAAGACATTGAACCCACAAAATACTGACCAAAAAGAAAAACAAATTGAAAACTTACCATGTGGCATGAGGAACCAATAACTACGCTTCATACGGAGATAATGCGTAGTACAAATAATTTAAGGACTGCCATCCTGAAATCACAATTATGCTTTTTACCCCCATCTGCTCGAATTGCCACTGCATTGAATTACATATAAAATCAAAACTTAATAATGAAATCTTAAAAACGTATATTACCAGTGTTTGATTCTGATAAATCATTACATTAATTGCACATATGTTAGGAAATATATTTGATGTTTCAGTGCATCCAATAGCCCAAACAACATATATAAGCTCCACCAATTTGGTTATGTACACGGAGTCACCGAGATTTCACTATGATGAAGACCAAAATGAAATTACAGAATAATTAACCACCGCCCCTACTGTACTCCTATAGAATAATGGCAACATAATAAGTGCGAAAATAGCATAATACCCCACAAAAAATTTGAGATCCACACTCCTATCATGGGTGAATGGGTATATATTCTAAATTCGCAACATCGTTAACCTCATCTTGGTCTCTGTTGTTTCGTTTCTATCAAGGAGAAAATTGCACGCAAGTTAAGAGCATTTTGAGGTATTGATTTCCATGAAGTTGAGTGTTTGGATTCTTAAAAGGACCAAAACAATATATTGATGTAGTTGAAATGACATCTGATTACTACTCAATGTGTAACGACCCGAAACCATAGGCAGTGAGAAATTATGGTTAGGAAACTGTCCATTATAATCACCAAGAAAATACAAAAAATCGTCAAATATATACAGGTCATGAAACAAATCTCTACAGTTTTCTTACAAAAAATAAAAAATAATAAAAATCTGACCGGTCCAGGTATGTCCCATCGGGACAACTGGGTAAATGAAGTTGGTCTGTACAGGTTCTGTGGTAGTCCGACTGGTCCCATATAGTGTGACTGGTTGCACTATGACAGTTTGCTATAAATGCTACCGAAAATCCCCTACTCTCCAATACCAACTCCAATACAACAATCAACTGATAAATACATAAGCATAAGGTCTTCAATGCATTTAAAACTTGAAACATTTCAACAATAACATGATAACCCTCAATTCACAAGCAAATCATCAAATGCCTAACATACATCAAACAATATATTCATAGACAAATCAGCATAAGCTCCTTTAATTGATCCTTGGTACCTGCAAAATGGTGGGTGAGACAAAGTCCCATTGTCCCAGTACGAAGAACTCTAAGTGTTCCAAAGGGATCAATTGTACATATAGATGAACCAAACAACTACCATCATATCAGAAACAAGGAGCTCAAACAACGATGGTTAAAAGCAAGGAGTATTCTCAAGAATTTGGCAAGGCACATGCAATTTAACACAGAGGTCACTTTCATGGCAATAAGATATAGAATAGGAAGCCAAATCACACAGAGCAACCCAAGTTAGAGAAGAACCCTACCATCATGATGACCATGAAGATGACGATGAGATGATGGTGAGAGAAACACCAATTTCTTCACTTTACTTGATCTTCTCTTTCCTTTGTTTCTTCCATGGCCGAACCTTTCTTTTCTCATTCCCCCAGTTCCCCTCTCTCTCTCTCTAAGTCTCTATGTGTGTATGATACAATGTAAGATACAAAGATAAATAGGGCTTGCAAAGAGAAAACGTGTCCTTGTGCATGAGTGATGAGAGTAAGATGAAGACACGTGGCAAGGTAAGGGCTAAGAATTGAAACAGTTGGATTCCACTAAATCCTAATTCGCATAATCACCAAACTTCCAACCTTATCTCACTAATCACACAAGAGTCTCCAAATAAAATACATTAATTCTATAAATCATACTTTATACCCAAAGTCTCTTAACAATGATAAAACTCTCAAACTAAGCCACAAATCATAATTAAAGCTTAATATAAACATCCGGGGTATTACACAATGTGTGAGGGAGAAATCAGGAGTTTGCCTATCCGCGACAATAAGATAAATCAGACTCAAGTTGTATGTGTATATATAAGATAGATTTGTGGAAGCAAGGAAAAAAAAAATTGAGTTTCTATCAAAGGTAAGAGACAAGGAGGCCGACCATAATTAATATGGGATGCAATACATAGAAATGAATTAAAAGAATAAAATATTAAAGGAGAAGTTGTGTCTAATAGATAAGGAAATAGGAGAATTCAGGATGAGAACTACCACATTTGGGGCTGCAAATGAACCAAATCAAGCCAACCTCTACATTGTTTATGAGGCTCGGCTCGAGATCCCTCGAGCTTGGCTAGGGTGAGCTCAGGCTCAGCTCGGTAGCATCTTGAAAAGCTTGGGATCGGCTCAGCCCGAACTCGTCTACATCATTTTCTCCTTTACGACTTAAGATTCCAAACAATTGATCTTTAACCTTCACAACTCACTCATGATTTCATTAACAGCAATGGTGTTGAGATCACTAGATGGAGACTGAATGGTAGAGATTACAAACTAACCCCACACACACACACACACACACACACACAGAGATCTGATCATGTGGATCACAGGGAATCCAAAAGTAAAGCCATCTCTCTAAAAAAACTTTATTCTTCATACAACCTTTTATTGAAAATATTTCAAGTGATTTAGTCATATTTATCACTGTTAATATTAAATCTAAGAAAAATATTAATTGAGTTTTTAATTTACTTTTCAATTCTTGTTATTAATTTCAATCAATTAGTTTATTCTTATTGAAATTTTTTCTTTACATGCTATTAAGTTCCTAATATGGAGTATGTAGTATCGAATTGATCTTTCATGCTTAGGCCACCGCATTAAAATCATAATTTAACATAATCATTCTAAGTATATCAGAACGAGATGTCCGCAATCTCCTTTTTTTATATGATTTTTTTGTGTTACTAATTTGATGGCTGAGAAGAGGAGCAAAAGGTACACAAAAACAACTGTACATATAGTCATGTCATTCTTAAAGGCATTATTTAAAGATCTCGCCTTACACCTCAAATTGTATTGAACCGGCCCTGGAGGGAACTGAACTAAGAAGCTGGGTGAGTACACCACCGTGCAATAAATACATAATCATATAATGTGTATGTGTGTGTGTGTGTGAGAGAGAGAGACCCATAGAGAAAAAAGAAGGAATATATGAGTGGAGAATGTCCAAGGTGGAAGAACCCCCCACACCATAGACACGATTTCTTGAAGAATTGGGTTAGAAAAAACACTCTTTTGATGTGGGAAAAACTTTACTTTTACTCTTGAGTGTATATTTTCTTGTGAAATATTGACTTGATGATCTCTAAATATGTTTTGTTTTGTTTCTGATTATTCTGGCATATCTTCACTTGCATGTCTTCTAAATATATGAGTTTAAAAGCATGATTATTTTCAGAAAATTTGATTCTGGACTATATATAAATGTTACAACCTTCCATTATTTTCTGTTGTGAAATTCATGGTGTACATCAATATCCTACTGTTGAACCTTTAAACAGTAAACTTTTAGGTAAAACTCTTCATTTATAACTTGAATTTTGGAAAGCCAAATTTTAATGGTTTAAGAAATGATTGTGGGGTATATAGATTGTTATTACATTAAATAATATTTCCTAAAGAAGTAAGTAGGGTAAGAGTTACCCTTGGGTGAAAAGTCCTAAACCCACGTGGTAGACCCTTGTTTGGTTAGTTGATGATTGGGGCCACAACAAAGTGAAAGGTTGGCCGGTGGATATATCTTGGAGGACCATCATTCTCCTTGTGTGATTAGTTTATGGTTGGGGCAACGCCAGTGCAAAGGTTGGCCTATGGATTCCTCTTGAAGTTCACCTTGGTGGATAAATGCATTCAATTTGTTGAGATGAAAATGGAAATCGGGGGCTGATTTTGTTGTCAGGGGCTTATTTGTTATTACTTATATAATATTGGGTGCTTATGTGTAATTTCTGAAACTTGTTAGTATAAATAGAATGAAAGAATTCTTCTTTCATCCTTTCTCTCTTTCCCCATCTCTCTCCCTTTTTCTCTCCTACTCTTTCTTCATCTTCTTCTACTTTACTCTTGTTTGGATTATCTCTTAAAGTCAACAGATGTTACCTGAAATCTAAATGTCTTTTTAACAAAAGTATTTTTGGCATTGTAGGCACCCCATTTCTTCCCTCCCAATTACAGAGTTAATTGACGGGAGATCATGATCTCCAACTCACACCCAAGAAGATCGAACGGCATGTTATCTCTTATAACTCGTATGTCATCTCTTCATACTCATATGTCTCACATCACATCCTTTAGGCTCGTATGCCCATTAGGACCTCTTTCCGACTCACATCTCATCCTTTAGGTTCGTATGCCCTTTAGAACCTCTTTTCGTCTCATCCTTTGGACTTGTATACCCTTTAGGACCTCTTTTCGACTCACATCTCATCCTTTGGGCTTGTATGTCCTTTAGGACCCATTTTCTACTCATATCCAATCCTTTAGGCTCATACCCTTTAGGACCTCTATTCCACTCATTTCTCATTAGGTTCGTATGCCTTTTAAGACCTCTTTTCGGCTTCAATCTCACCCTTTAGACTCGCAAGGCCTATAGGAAATCTTTTCAACTTGTATGTCATCTCTTAGGACTCGTATGTCCCACCTCATACTTTATGCTCGTACTATGTTCGACCTAATTCCCACACGATTCGGTATAACCGGGATACATAGGCAACCTTTTGGTTCGGTCACAGCACCCCACATCATCTTTCTCTTTCCAAACCATCGTAAATGAACTATGTTCGACCTGATTCTCACCATGACATACATGAGGTTGGTTCTGGGTTTGGTCACGCCACACTCACAGTTTTTCATTTCCCACACTCTTCCATCCTATCCAAGCCTATTAAGGTCTTAGATCCCTCTCACATGTAGATCTGGTCTAACCTTTAGGCGACATTAGAATCACAAGCAACATAAAATGTAAAGTAACCATACTAGGTACAGGTGTCTTGGGGTGGTTAACACCTTCCAACATCAATATTCATCAAACATTTCCATGCTTAAATTCAACTCATTTGATCTTTGATTAGTCATGATCACAATTTAATTGAACCTGCCTTAGAAGATTATTTGGAGGGGGGTTGTTAATATCAAAAGAGCCTCTACTTACCATAATAGGTCATGAAAATTTGTTTTGAAAAACCAAAAGGCCAAACCATGAGGTGCGACACAGGCAAATTTAAGTTATTTTACACATTGCAACACCCCAATTTGTGATATTTTTGAGAAATTCATAAAAATGGTGTCATTTTATTTGAACATACTCCTTTTACTCCAAAGGGTCTATAAAAATTTCGGAAACACAAAAATGAAAACAATAATTAAATTTGACACAGCTCTAAGCCTCTATGTAGTATTTTGTCATTCCTCTCAAAACCAAAGCTTCAATCACTCAACTTGACCATCCATCAGTCCTGATTTATTGAAGGAGAATTCCAAAAGGCTTGGAGGTTGAAATAAATCTGAAGTATTGTTTGCTGTTAATTTGAAACACACATAACGGCAAAATGTATGAACTATAATCTCTTCCCCTCTCCTTCATTCTCCCTTCTTTTTCTTTCTCGAGAAATGATTGTGGTATTTCTCTTGTACTTTTCTATTTTCTATAGTTTGCATGCATATCTCTCCATCTTCTACCTTTCTCTCCTTGTTTTATGTTTACCATCTCTACAGTTTCTTGGCAAATTGGTAACATTTTGGTCCAGTATCCAACCACAAATTGTGCAAACTCTAAAAATTTATTAGCAACCATAATTTCTAAATAATCTTTGAACAACCTCTTTCTCATAAGGTTATAGTCATACTCAAATAAGGTTTCACATGCAAGTCCTAGGCACAAAGAATGTTAAATTGACACATACAATAATAACCTTTTAATACTTAATGTATTTAATGACAACGAATGATAATAACAGATACTACCACATTATGTACCAATTTTAGTTTTAAAAAACCAACATTTTTCGTCTCTCCAGCAAGTGTATCTGTATGTTACTCAAATCAATCATAAGACATTTAACTCGCCAAATTCAAAAGATCAAAGAACTCACCAAGTAGCATGGGTCTGTAACAACCATGCTCATGGGATCGGAGAGAGACGTCTTCGTACCCAGTGGATTGGACTTTCTTTCTTTCTTTCTTTCTGGTGAAGGGAAGAGAGCTAATTTTCGTCCACGATAAATGGAACAAAAAGAGACAACAAAGAAAGAAAAGAGGCTTGCCTCGGGACCGTCAAGCAGTAAAAAGCTTGCCTAATATTCTAGAATAGAGTATTTGTTTTGGCTGGGAGACATTTCTATTAGCATGTTCTGACCACAATAGCTCTTCTTGAATCCTTAAGATATACCATAATTTGTTATCAGGATGGCAGTCCTTAAGTTATTTTTTGATGTTAAGAAAAATACATATTAAAAAAAAAAAAATAACTTAAGAACTACATCCTGATATCATAATTGTAGTTTTCTCCTCCATCTGCTTCCAAAACCTCTCATACAAGGTCAGATCACCACTGCATGTAAAATTAAAACATATCTAAAATATTAGCTATAAAAGATGTAACACAATAATGTTATATTCAATATGTTGTATTAATTTAAAGGATCTTGATGTTTGCTTGTTTAGGAAAATTATGGAATGCATCTATTGTTTAACACATCAAAGCCTATTCTCAATATTTAATGTGCCTATTCAAATCATCGCATTCGTGAAATTGTTAAATTTCGTTCTGAACATATAGTATTAGATTTTAACAATTAAGAGGATATAAAAAAATACTGTAGAAATAAAAAAGGAGATAGAATAAGGAACTGAAAGATTTTTTACTTTACCATAATTATGTCCTCACATATAACCCTCCACATTGATGAGAGACTTCCATAATATGCTTCAGTAATAGATCTTTCAACATCGTTCCCTCTCCATCTAGAGAAAGAAACTAAAACACTGGAAGAGAGAGAGATCACACAATGTTGAAACAAAAGGAAAATGTGGGTGATATTTATAGCGAAGCCTCCAAGAATGCATTAGGCGTTCAAGTGACAAATGGATGGCTCAAAGTTGGGTCGATAAGGCACGTGGCACGATGCATGTGAAGAAGTTGGGTCGATAAGGCACGTGTCATGATGCATGTGAAGATAAAATAAAATAACATAACAAGATTTTAGAAATGCCAGCAGTGATGGTTCCCGGGTTAGGTTTTTAAAATGGATAGAAAAATGTATATCCGTCAAAAATTTTATATAACATAATTCATGTGTGTATATAATAAATTGGGGGACTAAACTACAGAATCTGCATTTAGAGAGAGAGAAAAGCTTAACGATAGATTTTTTTTTTTGTTTTTCCTATTAAAAGAAAGACGTAGAGTTCTCAAGAGATCTTTAAAATTCAATTTCACATATGTGTATATATAAGCGGGAGTTTTATTTTCAAACAGTGTATAAAAATGTATATATATATATATATATATTAAAAAATAAATAAAATAAAAAAGGGAAATTGCTTTGAGTCATGACAGTGTTGATTCTCTAAGAACTCTCAAGCAAGCCTTTGATCACTTTTCCAAACTATCACCACATTGACCTCTACAAAAGTTCTGCATTTTTCTCAGGCCTTAACCCATCTACTGAGCTTAGCAACTCAAACCTCTTAGGTATTAAATATCTTGAGACCCCTCTGATTTCTACTAGCCTAACTTCAGTGGACTGCGATGTTAGTCAACAAAATTACCAACACAAGTTCATACTGGAGCAGTAAATCTCTCCCCCATGCAGGCAGACTACAATTGGTGAAATCAGTCCTTATGAGCATCCATTCAAACCGGACTTGCATTCTCATACTACCTAAATCTATCATCAATGATCTTAATGGCATTTTCAGAGCATTCCTATGGACACCTATGCATCAAGGTGGCTATACCTAACATTGACATTAGCACAAAGGCAGCTGTGCTGAGCTCAGACACCTATGGACACTCATTTCAGACACAATAATAGTATATAATTAAAGGAAGATGGATTTGGCAAATCAACATACCTCAACAGTGTTCATATAGTTGGAGAAAGCCTCTTCAATTGAGAGATTGCAACTTCATATCAGCCAATGGTGGGACCTTTAGCCCAGATCTCCACAACCTGCTTCCTGAATTAAACCACATCACTCCCAAACCCTTCCATCTCAAACCAAGCTATTTGGGTACCCACTTGCTCTTCAAATGCCCATTTTCATCCCCAATTTGGAGCTTCATCTTCATCCAATCCAAATCTAAATACAGATTTTTTATTCAACCTCCCAATTGGACCCATTGGAGGAGATCAAAAAGAGCTTCAATCACTCCCTTTCAAAGCTCGATCTTTCTTCATCTATCTACCACATATGGCAAGAAAGGTCGATCTCGTTCGTTCACAAAACTCATCAGTTCTGAGGAAGATTCTCGATTCGATCAGAACAAACATCCAAGGATGCAACCTCGTGACGAGTTTAGAAGCTGCCACCACCACATCCCCAAGATATGATGTTGATTCCATCGATCCAACCGAAGAAATTGAAGATTGTTATTTGGGAACTATTTTAATGCTTTGGGCTATCAGGTATAATTTTGGGCCTGCAGTGCCTATTAATGTTGGAATAGATATCGGGTGCCCAAGGTCTACGGTGCACCGGGTCATTCGAGCTGCAATTCGAGGTTGTTGGAATAAATATCGGGTGCCCAAGGTGGGCTCGAATGAGCTGGGTGTATGGTGCGCCGGGCTCACCCATTACTGTCTCCCTTTATATACTACTTTGCTTACAACACACTCACACGTACACCTTTTGTTGACACTCAAGAGACTTTTCCTAGTAATATAGAATATAATAGATATAGATTTAGATATATATTTTATTATGTTTATTTGCCTTCCTTACCAATTTTATAATATGTAAAGATAGCACAAAAGATATATAATTTGTCTGTCTTACAAATAGGCATGACATAAAGAGCATCATAGCACTTTAATGGGTGAATTAATTGCGGATAAACTCATGCTTCGGAATACTGAATTGGCACTTTGAATTTGCAATTGGAAAAAATTGAATTTCTTTAGGCTAAATTAAATTTCCTCCGAATCCAAGTCCAATACATTAATTCGGTACTCCCAAACATAACATCAATGTAAGTAAGAGATCGAAAGTTCTTTCACAATCTAATCTTATAATATTATTATATAGATGCTTGGCGGCATCGAATCGATAACCGAAGAAGGTTTCATATAGATGCATGCATTCTCTTTCTAAATCCCCTTTCTAAAACAGAGCCACATTAGGCTCAATGGGACAGCATCCATGCATCATCTGGTGGTGCTATTTGCTTATGCTTTTGCAGAGTAGTTGGTTTCCATTTTTGCTTTGTATACAATTTGCATATATCAAAATCATACTAAATGACTTGCAAATAAAGAAAAATAATTTTGCAATCTTTAAGCTGAGCTGACATAGTATTAATGTTCCATTCTTTCCTTCCTTATTACTTTTCCCCTTTTCTTATTGGGAAATAAATGTGTACATTACTAATTTCAATAAATAGAAATATGAATGAGGACACATTGCATGATCAAAACCCAAGTAACAATACGAGTATATGACTTTACTTAATTATCAAGCATGTGTATCAGCAAGTTAATTCAAAATTTTCTCCTTAAAGAGATAATAAGATATATAAATAAATAAACAAGCTGAATCTAACAAAATAAATTGAACTCTGAAGGAGTAGTATGGGACAGCTGCAATCACGCTTACTGACTAGATGCATCGAGCCAAGAGAGAGCACATAGAGCAAGTACATATTGAACATTCTTGAGCAAGTACTTCATCAAATAAGGTCAAGTAATTTATTCAGCAATGAGTGTTTAATCCACTAGAAAAATCACTCCATAAAGAGATACTAAGATATTCATATGTTTTATATGAATAAGACATTCATGTGTCAGCAAGTCAATTCAAGAATTTCTCCTTAAAGAGATAATAAGATATTCATATAAATAAATAAACAAGCTGAATGTAACAAAATAAATTGAACTCTCACTGAATAATATGGGGCAACTGCAATCAAGCTTACCGACTAGATGCATCGAGCCGAGAGAGAGCACATAGTGCAAGCACATATTGAACATCCTTGAGCAAGTACTTTCAGCAAATAAGGACTAGTAATTATTCAGTAATTGGTGTTTAATCCACTAGAAAAATCACTCCATTGTTGCTCGAGGTTGGGGAGCTTTTAGAGGACGTCTTCTTAGCAATTAGCCTCTTTTTATCAGGACGTCCACCAGGGTTGCAAGGAACCCGCATGAACCTTTTGTGGGGCCGCCACTGCATTGAATTACATACAAAATTGAAACTTTGTGTACGCTTGTAACTTTAACTACAACAAATACAATACCATATTGCTAGAATCTGATAAAATACTAAATTAATTGCACATATTTTCTAGATGTTGTTTACGATGTGTCCTCAGAGCTAGGAATAATTTGTTTTAGGAGGCAGATACATAATTTTTATTTTCTTCTTCCAAATAACATTAGGGTGTAAATTGTGTTCATTCTTTTGGATGAATGGATCATGTATCCAACAAAAAGCCATCTTGCATTGAAAACTCATTTTAAGTGTAAAAATAGAAAAAACTTATAATTTTTTTTTTTTAATAAATAGGTCATTTTAACAAGATAAAATGAGTGCAGTCAATTAAAACTAAAAAAATAATAATAAGAACTTAACTACAGGAATATATGGGCAACATTGTCACAAGAATGAGTGCCTACAAATCAAGACTGATAAGTACTTCCCCTGTGTCTAAATTGTTAAAATGATCGTTCGAAATATAGGATATTTAATATACACTCAAAAACTGCTTGAAACATTGTATAATTTGTTTAAAAGATTGTTCTTGAAAATTTCTTAGCTACATTTGTGGAGGAAGACATTGCCAAAATATTGACAATTACCCATGTAAACTGTTTACAAGATTGAAAGAATTTGAAAAAAAAAAAAAAAAATGAAAAAAGAAAAGAAAAGAAAAGGAAATTAAGGGAGAGAGATGAGTTTATCTATTTGGAAAATACTTAGATCCTCACTGATGTGGATTTACACCATCCTGACCGCTAATGTGAACCAAGAACAAATGGACACGTCCTTTTTTAATTATCAAATTAGAAATGGTAATTGATCCACCATCTCGAATTGGGTAAGTATGTACCAACACCATCTCTAATTTGGTAATTAAAAAAGACGTGTCCATATGTTATCGATCCATATCAACATGATGGAATACATCCTCACCGGTGACGACCTAAGTATTATCCCATTTCATAAATAATATAGAGAGCATAAAAGAAGAATGCACACGTCTCTATAGAAAGCATAAAATGTAGCGACAATGATGGAGCATAACTAGACTAGGATGTAATGATCTTACATAATAAAAGAATAAATAAATAAAGTAGAGAGAGAGATGAGCCCTTTTTTCTTTCCCGCAATTGTGATTTCCTTGCAATGAACAATCTGATCATTTTAAATGATTTTAAAGGCATATCATAGCCTTGTGCTCAACATTAGGGTGTAAATTGTGTTCATTCTTTTGGATGAATGGATCATGTATCCAACAAAAAGCCATCTTGCATTGAAAACTCATTTTTAAGTGTAAAAATAGACTCTTTTCTTCTTTTCTCTCTCTTCTGGGTTTTCTCTCTTCTTCTGTGTGTGCCTCTATCATGCGATCTTTCTTGATTTTTGTGCTAACTTAAAGGTGCAAACGCTTGAATACATGAGAAAAGGTTGATACTTACGGTGCAATTAATGTCGATTTTATCCATTCCATAGAAAGAAAAAAATGAAGTGATGCACCATCATAATATAATTATGTTTGAATAAATGAGAAACACAATTAATAAGATATACAACTAATAGGTAAAAGTGGAATGCATCTAAAGAAGCATACCTTCTTTTTCGATACCACTCGTTTCAGTGAGCTTTTCCCTTTTTGTTATTTGAAAGTTCTTTTTCATTTTCAAAATGTAGACCTGCGTCATTTAAATTCAAGGGAATAAAATATTTTAAAACTAGTTATTAATACACATATCCAGGAAAATAAAATATATATATATATCTATTAATACACAAGTATTTTTCGCATGATAAATTATAATAGCATAAAATCAGAACAACTGTATTATATATGCCAATGTCGTATCCCGATCCTGAACATAGTGGCAACCCCCCCTCGACGGTCACTGCTTTTTCAATGGGCCTGGACCTACTCAACATGGATATTTATGGGTCCTCATGGGAAAGCCGGATAGGATTAACTAATCAGTCCTCTTGCTGGGCTGTCTTGTAAACCTTGCATATTTTACCATATTCATATACTTGCTTGAATTTTTGGGGTTATAAAAAATAATAATAATAAAATAGAAAGAAAGCAAAATGGTATTGAGAAGTTCACATGATTGTCATGAGTTCCTATTTTATTTATCTTGGAAGGGAAATTTTAAGAACCAAGGTTTGGACTAAGATTTGATACCTAACCCGAAAATGGAAAAGAAAAAAAAAAAAATAGTTTTAACAAAGTGATGAGACATTGAACCTACAAAATACGGACCAAAAAGAAAAACAAAAGAAAACTCACCATGTGGCATGTGACACCAGTATTGGAAGACATCCTAAAGTCACAATTATGTTTTTTAACCCCATTTGCTCGAATTGCCACTGCATTGAATTACATATAAAATCAGAACTTATTCTTAAAACCTAGAAACCATGAGTATATATAACCACGGTGTTCGATTGTGATGAATCATTACATTATGCACATATGTTAGGAAATATATTCGATGTTTTCACTGCATCTAATAGCCTAAACAACATAAGCTCCACCAATTTGGTTAGGTGTCACCGAGATTTGAAGAGGAAAACAAAATTATAAAATAATTAACCACGGCCCCGCACTATATTTCTATAGAATTAGGGCTCCATAATAAGAGTGCAAATACCAAAATATCCCATAAAAAAATGGAGATCTACACTTCCTATCATGAATGGATGGGTATATATTCTAGAATTTGAAAAATCAATAACATAGGGTCCAATCTAGGGACTGTTAATCTCATGTTGGTCACTGTTGTTTCATTTCTTTCAAGGAGAAAATTGCAAGCAAGTTAAGAGCAAGTTGAGGTATTGATTTCTGTAAAGCTGTTTAGTTTTTTAGAGGACCAAAACAATGTGTTGATGTAGTTGAAATGGGATCTAATTACTACTCAATATATGAGGGAGAAATTAGGAGTTTGCCTATTGGCGACAAAAAAAAAAAAATCAGACTTAAATGGTGTGCGCATATACATGATAGACTTGTGGGTGCACTATTGAAAAACATATATATAAGCTTCCATCCAAGGTTAGAGACAAAGAGGCCTTCCATAATAAATATGGAATGCAATACATAGAAATAGCTTTAAAGAATAAAATATTAAAGGACAAGTGTTGTCTAATAGAAAATGAAAGAGAAGGAGAATTCATGATGCGAGTTACCACATTTGGGGCTGCAAATGAATTGAGCCGAGCCAAGCTCTGGGTTGTTCATGAGACTCAGATCGGGATCGCACAAGCTTGGCTACAGCGAGTTCAAGCTCAGCTCAGCAGTATCTTGACAAGCTCAGGATTGGCTTGGCCCAAACTCATCTACACTATTTTCTCCTTTGCGACTTTAGATTCCAATAATTGATCTTCAACCTTCAGAACTAAACAACAATGGCGTTGAGATCAATAGATGGAGACTGAATGGTAGAGATGATAAATTAACCACAAAGAGAGAGATCTGATCTTGTGAATGTCGAAGGAAACTAGCAATAACTATTGATGATAGGCTGCCAGAGAAATGGAGAGAGAAAGAGGTCTAGCCTCGTTGATATCGATGTTGAGAGGAGTTGTTGGGGGCTTGGGGCTGTAGTTGTGGTTAGAGGTAGGGTGTTAGGGTTTTATATTTATAGTAAGTTACCAAAGATTTAATGGTTGAGATTAACTTATAAATGTCTAATTGTATATTCTAAGACGCTTGTTTACATATATGTTCATGCATGACAACCACTAGACACATTTTACTTATACTAGTCAAAAGCACGTGAACTAGTCTTAAGTGCAATCGGAAGATAGTTGAAGCCTTTCCTAGGTGCAATTGAAAAATAAAGTGATAGCACTATCTCCGAGATTCAACTAAGCTAGATTTAAAAATTTGCATATTTATAGAGTGACACCGTCTATAAACTCATATATTCATCTCCATCCAATTATATGTCTATAACAAAATTTAATTTGATAAATTAAATTTTAAAATTCAAAATATAATTTCCAACTTGAAAGAATTTCAAAAAACATTCCTTTGAAAATAGCTTTTAAATCATATATCATGAATATACAAAAGTATAAGTTGGAAATATTATTGATTTGGTATGCCTACAATTTAGTCGCTGGAAAGTTAGAAATGTTACCAATTTGGTATGCCTCAATTTAATGACCGGAAAGTTAATCAAAAATTCAATTTACCAGAATTCCTCACTCTTTTTCACTTTCTTAGACTTGCTCTCAAGTCCGTTACACCGTACACCTAGAATAAGTTATTGAATTTAATCAATAAACCCAAAGGTCATCGGTTACAACCAACAACCCAAATTGTTTGATCGTGTAATTGATTGAGCAACCCATCAGTCACATGAGATCCAACGATGTAGACTCAGTCTTTTTCACTTTCTTAGAGTTGTTCTCAAGTCTGGTACACCTAGAATGGGTTATTGCATTTAACCAATAATCTCAAAGGTCATCGATTACAACCAACAGCCCAGATTGCTTGATCATGTAACTGATTGAGCAACCCATCAGTCACATGAGATCCAACGGTGCAAACCCACTCTTTCTCACTTTCATCTATACTATAATCTATTGTAGGAGGATTGAGATCCCACTCTTCGACAATATTAGCAAGACCGAGCGTTATTAAAATGGCTTATAAATGTAGAACTGTTCCTTAATTGTTAAGGTAGAAAGCAAAGACCAGTAAGTCTTAATCCATTTGTTACAACAAATGGCCTAGATTGCAGATTGCTTGATCATGTAACTGATTGAGCAATCCAACAGACTCGTGAGATAATTTCAGTCTTCAATGCGCAACTCTCAGTCTTCAATGCGCAACTTGAACTTGTGCAAAAGAGAAACAATTCCAACCTTCTCGTGCGTGAGCGACTCGAACCCAAGACCTCTTGACTAGACAACTTGTTTATGTTATTAAATAGAGAACTAATATATATATATATATATATATATATATATATATATATATATAAAATATTTTGAATAACTTTATAAAAGGAAATAAGTTTAATTTTCAAATATTTTCTAACAATTGAGCTCCTAATGGTTTCGGACTTTGTTTCCTTGCTTGTAAAGCTCAACTGGGCTTCTATTAGCCCATCAATGCGTAACTTATAATTATTAGTTTATATCTGTATAATTTGGTTGATTTTTGGGGATTTTTTCTAAAAAATATACAAAATGAAATTTTGCTATATAAATACATACTATATACAAATAGATATATATACACACATGTTATGGCTCGTGAAGGTAATTCAATTTCCAAAGCAAGGTACTTCCTAAATAGTTTAGTTATGTAGTCAATGGTGATGTTTGGATCACGGAAGATGTATATGGAAAATTGAGGTCAAACCCAACCGTTCAGAAAATGCGATGAATTGTTTCCATCTTCATCATCAAAACAAGATTCTGAAAGTTTTCTACTATTTGATTCTCAAGTACAATATCTGAAGCATAGATTCATTTGCTCAAGTTGAGAAGCAAAATTCGGTGTAGCATATGATGCAAAGTTATATTGATATATAGACATATATGGATATCTTATCTCTCTCCCTAAATTTTTTATAACACATTAAAATCAAATACAAATGGAAAAAAGAGATCCATATATGATATGTAGAGTTTGCACAAAAGATTCATAAAATTGTTATAGATATTAACAAATTTATTTACATGAACACCGCATTTGGACTGTTATGGGCAGATTGTGAATAATCTCTCTACAAAGAGATCAAAAATATTATCCACATCCACCATTCTAATTCTTACCAAAAAAAAATTGTTAATTATCCAATTTTGCAACCTGTTCCCTGGAGGCCACAAAAGAGGAAAAAAAAAAAACCTAACCTATTACAAATTGGTAAATAAGGCCAATTTGTCAACATACTGTTCAAGACACATATACAAAAAAATAGCCTCATTGGTTAGAAATGTAAAATGCCATTTTATTAATTTCACTACCAAATAATAATAATAATAATAAAAAAGAAAAAAGAAAAGAAAAGTCAAAGATCCAAAATGCCCATACTGAGAATGAAAATTTATAATTTTAATTTTTTATTGGTTATATTAGGGTTAGTCTATTCCAAGTACCTGGTAGAAAAATGTTACCACAAGTTAAAGTTGCAGCAACTCCAACTAAGATTAAAATCATAATTAAATAAGGTTTCACCTTCTTCAGGGATGCCAATATTGTGGTAACTATAAATCACAGCTTGTAGAATCTTTGTGGCCTGAAGCTGTGAATCTTTTGATACGCCAATACTATGAGCTCCATGTATTTTACCATTTTTTTGGCAACTTCATCCTTAACAAGAACCCAACTGCAAATTTTGAAAACAAAAGTACTTAGAAATATAATATACCAATATTTACCTAATTTTGATCATTTTCAAATTTATAACATTAAATCTCACCCTATACCAGTATGGCCTGTGGCTTTGGAGACGGTGAACATCATGAGTTCATGGTCTGCAGGAGAAGAAATTGGAGTATATTGTCGCCAATAGTAAGCAAGATCATGAACCTCTCTTCCTGGGTTAGACTGCAAGCAATAAACACATATTTAAGACCAGCATTTATACTATCTACTTTAAATTCTTAAACTCCAAAATCCTAAGTCAAAAATATTAACTAGTTCTTGATATTAGTCTTATAAATAAATTTAATTATTATTCGGAGATTTCATAATTCCAGCACCAGAAAAAAGAAATCATATTTCGGCCATCATTTGGACAGAAAAGAAATATCAATAAAACTTTGTAGCAACATTATTGCCACGTTCAATGCCCGTCGTCAAATTTAGACATTGATGAGAAGTACATGTTGTTCAAAATAAATTTATGAGGTACATTATAAAATTTAACATGGGGCTATGACCATTGTTAAAAAAAAATTAGCGCTTTAAAAAAAAAAAAGCATTTAGGATGTCATTATAAATTAACATAGCACTTTAATATATATATATATATATATATATATATATATATATATATATATATGGCATTTAGGATGTGGTCTTAGACTGCATTCGTTTGCACGTCATAAATTATATACCATGTACGACTCACATTGCCGTCTTAAAAAATGTAATTAATTGTACCAAACATAAATTCATTAGGAAAATCGAGTCAGTTTGTCACATTATATGTTTTTAATCAACCTTGCAATAATGTTAGTAACTTTTGTGGTTAACTCCATAGGTCAAGTCAGCCTAATGATTTTAATATTTAATTTTGACGATTCACAGGCATTAAAAGAAATAAAAATATATATACAAGCATAAAAAATCATTAAATAACATTTCAAAAAGTGTGTAATTTTTTAAAGGAAAATAAGTGTCTGTGCATTGTCTAATGAAACAAGTGTCTAGTTCATTAGACAGTGCACCATAACACTTGTGTGTGTGTGTGTGTGTGTTTGAGAGAGAGAAAAGAGGTAAGGGCCAAAGGTCTTAGTACCTCTAAGGCATATAAAGAAAATACAACATAAAACATAAATATTAGATATGATATTGCATTAAAAGTAATTAGAAAGCTAACTACTACTAAGTGTACAAAAGTTTTTCTTTTGGTGGTGGGGGGGTAATATAAAATTTATATAGATCATAATTGCACTCAATGACTTTGCAGATATAGCAAATTGGTTTTGTTTATGATGAGCATACATTGTATAAATGTTCCATCATTTCCTTATTTATTACTTTTTTTTATATATATTTCCCTTTTTCTATTGGCAAATGAATAAATGTGTCTATTTTTATTTCAATAATAAAAATATCAAAGAGGACACATTACATGAACTCATCAAATAAAATTTCCATATTAAATAAATTGAACTAAATAAAAATAAAAATAAAAAAACTCACTTAGTATGGGGCAGCTGCAAACACGCTCATTGGCTCAGAAGCATCGAGCGAGGCGAGAGCATATAGTGCAGCATGATAGAGCTGCGAGGAACCGGTTCCCACCATAATGTGACGATCGTCGACTACTGCATTCCCTACTAGTTGGTGCAATTTAATAATTGCACTTGCAAGTTTGGGTTCCAAAAACCATTAAAAAGAATTTACGTTAGACATGTAACTTAAGTGCTGGTCTCCAGATATAAGAATCGGAGTTTTTTTCCCCCATTTGCCACCAGAATCTTGTATACATTGTGGGGTCGCCACTGCATTGAATTAAAACCTATTATTAGTAAATTTAGCTATAACAAATACAATACCATAATGCTAAATTCTGACAAAATACTCAATTGATTGCACATACTTTTAAAACAAAAGGTGATGAGCTAAAGTTTCATATTTAAGTTCTCAGTGTGTGTGTGTGTGTGTGTGTGTAGAGAGAGTGAAGAATGTAAGAGACGAGGAAGAAATCAAAATAGAAAGAAGAATAAAACGAATAAAAATAAATAATTTTAACATTATATCCTTCCACATTCACGAAGTATATTTGGAGAGCAAAATAATAAATAAATCCATGGACAACTTTTACAGCTCCCAATTCTTTTTCCCTCTCCCTCTCCCACCTACAATGCCATCCAAAACGACGAAATGCATCACTATTAAATGGGTCATTTTAACTAGAAAAAAATTACTATCGTCCCTCAATTGAAAAAAATAATAATAATACAATAACTAAATAAATAAATAAATAATTACATGAACATATGGGCAATTTTATAACAAGAATGAGAGCTTACACATCAAGACTGATAACTACATCCCCAATATCTTGATGTTTCACTTTATCAGCTGAGGCCAAACTCGTAGGTGAAGACCTTACTATATTGGTCTTCCTTTGAAGGTTTGCCTCGGAACCTGGTCCCTCATTGGTAAACCGCCACAGTAGCCCGACATTGATGGCCAAAGAGTCCATCAGAACATGCCTCATTGACACAAATTTGTACATCTTTTCTCTATTTAAGCAAGAAATCAACAACTACAATGGGAGTGATAGATAAACACAATGTTGACACAATGGAATGTATATGTTATTGGCATGCATCTGTATATGCATACTTATATAGGTCCGATCAAGAAGGTAGTTGTGTCCGAGAAAACGAATATCTATGACAAATGGATGCAGGAGCGAAAGTCCCACTTGTGCATTGCAAACGGAAATGCCAACACGCATGCATGCAGGGAGGGATTTCAGGACATAATATTTGTGGATTCTTCTGGGCTTTTCCCTTTTAACAGTTTCATCAGATTATGTAAGCATATGCATTTTCATTTTTATATAGAATGAAAGACGCAGAAGATTTTATGCATGGGACCACCCTGCTTAATTTTGACAAGTCACCTAACTGGAGTTTTTGGTTTCAAGATCAGACAATATATTGACGCAATATATTTTTGAATGATAGTAACTGCAACTTAGGAAAAATAAATAAAAAATTAAAGGCTCATTAATTGCAATCAAACAATACTAAATGTAGCTTATAAACTAACACCTTAAGAGCATTCATTATTGAGGCAGAATGCTTTTTGGGGAATCAATGCTTAAGCTAGATTTAATGGTTTTGACTATATTCAATGACATTGTGGAATTACTGATTTTTCTTGAGAAAATGATATTTGAGCTGATGAGTTAGCTTAAAACACTAGTGCAGAAGCACTACAATAAAAATGACTTCTAACAATGTCGAGTGGAGCACGTTGTAAATAGAAATAGTTACGATGTGCAAGAAAGAATGCCGTAAAATCTTGCAGCCTAATGACGAATCCGTGAACAAAGGCGTGAAAGAAGACTTTTAACAAGGCACAAAGAACGCTCGCCATAAATATCGAGTTACAAAAATTCAGTTTTCTTTTTAGACATGTTTCGAGGGGGACTCAACTTTACCACTTAAAACAAGAATTAAAGTACTTCTACTAAGTCTAATTTATCGGTTAAAGTGGCATTGTTTTTTTTCCCCTTAATTAAGTGCAATTAGTATTGTTAGAACAGTTATATGTAAATAGGTATTTATGTTGGGGTCATATTGTAATTAGATATAGGGTTTGTGGCCATTATGTAAATAGGCCTTTCTTGTATTGTATATATATTTGTGTTATGTGTAAGGGTTTTAACATATGAAGAAAAGGGGCTGCGCCTCTCTCTCTCAGCCATCTCTACTCTCTCATTCTACTATCTCTCTCTGTATAATCTATAAATTTAACATGGTATCAGAGCTTTGATTTATTATCTGTCAATAAACTGACTCAAGCACTCAATTGTTTTGTCACTTTTTATCCTCCGTTTTGTATCTTTCAGGACCTCAACACGAAGAAGACGATTGGTGGAGGCACTAACAGAAATGGCCTATACTATTTGGATTGCACACCTTCCACTAGTGGTGTTGCTTTACATTCCCAGGTGTCTGTATACCAGTGGCATTATCGGTTAAGTCATCCCTCGTTGCGGTACTTGAAGTCTGCATTACCTTTCCTTGAGTCTGTGTCTACTTTAAATTGTGAGTCTTGTCAGTTGGGTAAGCACCATTGAGTGTCTTTCCCTCCTCATACTGTTAATCGTCGGTCTTCTTTATTTGAATTGGTGCATACGGACATTTGGGGTCCAACTCGTCAAACTAGTCAATCAGGTTTTTCTTATTTTGTTACCTTCGTTGATGACTATTCAAGGATGACTTGGTTGTTTTTAATGAAAGACCGTTCTGAACTTTTTCCCATATTTCAATTATTTTTAAAAGAAATTGAAGTTCAATTTGGTTGTGTTATACGAACTTTACAATCTGATAATGCTATGGAATATGTCAAAGGTGCTATTTCTACCTTTTGCGACTCTCGTGGCATCTTGCATCAAACTTATTGTTCCAACAAAATGGTGTAGCCGAACGGAAAAATAGGCATTTAATTGAAATAGCTCAGACATTGATGATCCATATGCATCTTCCAAAGGCATTTTGGGGAGATACTGTTTTAATTGCTTGTTATTTAATTAATCATATGCCATCTTTTGTTCTTAATTGGAAATGTCCTTATTCCCTTGTTTTTCCTACCCGACCGTTATTTGCATTACCACCTCGTGTTTTTGGGTGTGTGTGCTTTGCTCACATATTACGCCCTGGCACTGATAAATTGTCTCCTCGTGCCATTAAGTGTGTCTTAATGGGTACTCTCGGACTCAAAAGGGTTATAAATGTTGGGATCCTAGCACTCATCGTGCTTTTGTGTGCATGGACGTTACCTTTTTCGAGGACACTCCTTATTTTTCTTCACATGGTTCATCTTTAGATACCGAGTTCTTGCTTCCGTTGCCTGTTGTGTCACACTCATCAGCCTATGTCCCACCACGACCACCTCCAGTACCACCGCCACCTCAAGTGCCACCCATAGTTGTTAAAGGCTCAAGGCGCACAAAAGCGCAAAGGCCTCCTGGAGCCTGAGGCGCAAGGCGAGGCGCGCGCCTGACTGAAGCAAGGCGCACGTTGAAAAAAAAAACACAAAACCCACCCAATAAACTATTAAAGATGCAATAGTATATATAAAGATGCCAAAGCCAACTAAATGAATTACTTAAGTTCAATATTCAACATAAAGATGCCAAAGCCAACTAAATCAAGTACTTGAATTCAACAGTGAATAATCAAACATATTAACATAAACCAGATTTCATGTCAATTAGCAAAATCAGATTTCAATTTCAAAGCAATATTGAAATACAGAGCTGCAGATTTCATACTTCCAGTTCAATTCAGTATTAAAAAAAAAAAAAGACACAGCTGCAGCCTGCAGTCCAGTTCCAAACTTCCAGTTCAGTTCATAAAAAAAATAATAATAATACAGAGTTGCAGATTTCATAAAATAAAAAAATAAAAAAATACACAGATTGCATAAAAAAAATACAGAGCTGTAGATTTCATAAAAAAAAAAATAAATAAAACAGATTTCATAAAATAAAATAAAAAAATTAGAACCCAATTTTTTAAGAGAAACAGAGCCCAGATTATCATGATTATATTAATCCCAAATTCAAGTAATTTCACATAAAGAAGCAAAAGCAGGAACTTCCAGATGCGAAACAAAAGAGGGCAAAAATCTGTAACTTGGAAAAATAAATGCCAAACTCAAATAAGTTCTGCCGAAGAAGAGAAAAAATAAAATAAATATAAATAAATAAATAAATAAATAAAAGAGAGAGAGAGAGAGAGAGAGAGAGAGAGAAAGAGAGAAGAAGAAGAAAAGAGAGAAGAATTCTGCCGATTCTGAAGAGAAGAGGCAGATAAGTTCTGCCGAAGAAGAGAGAGAGAGAGAAAAAAAAAAAAAAAAGAGAGAGAGAGAGAGAAAAAGAGAGAAGAAGAAGAAGAAGAAGAAGAAGAAGAAGAAGAAGAAGAAAAGAGAGAAGAATTCTGCCGATTCTGAAGAGAAGAGGCAGATTCCGAAGAAGAGAGAAAAGAAGAGAGAGAAATGAAGAAAAAGAAAAAGAAGAAGAAAAGAGGGAAGAATTCTGCTGATTCCGAAGAAGAGAGGCAGATTCCGAAGAAGAGAGAGAAAAGGAGAGAAGAATAAGAGAAGAAGAAGAGAGAGGAAGAACAGTGAGAACTTATCTGGATTCCGAAGAGAAGAGGCAGATTCGTGAGGAGAAGTCGGCAGATTCGTCGCAATCCCTAGCCCTTTCCTTTTGCTTCAGTCTCTTTGCTTTCAAATCACTTTCCTTTTGCCTTTTATTTTATTTGTTTTGGTATTGTAAAAAACAGAAATAATAAACAAATAACATAAAATAAACATATTAAACAAAAAAGAAATAACAATAAAAGGAGACGATTTAATAAGGCGCGCCTTTGGTGCACCTGTGGCCTTACGCCTTAGTAGCATAGGCGCGCGCCCCCATCAACCCAGTCGCCTTAAGTTCTTAGAGGCGATATGATGGCGCCTGTACACGCCTTGCGCCTCAGGCGCGCGCCTTCGACGCCTTTGACAACTATGGCACCACCACCACTTCAAGTGTATAGTCGACGATCACGGCTAGCACCACCCCCCCCCCCCCCCCCCCAATTGTCTACTTCTATTGAGGCTCCTGTTGCTGCTGATGATCTTCCTATTGCCTTACGCAAAGGTATTCGATCTTGTGTTACTGCACATCCTATTTCTAACTTTGTCTCATATACTCATGTTTCACCCACTTTCTCTTGTTTTTTATCCACACTGTCTGCTATACTTGTGCCCAAGACTTTGCAGGATGCTCTTTCTCATCCTAGTTGGCAACAAGCCATAATCGATGAAATGGATGCTCTTCATCATAATGGGACATGGGATCTTGTTCCCTTACCTCCTGGTTCCAAACCGGTTGGTTGTAAGTGGGTCTACACTGTCAAATATCTCCACAATGGTTTTATTGAGCGTTTGAAAGCTCGTCTTGTTGCAAAGGGGTACACCCAAACTTATGGTATTGATTATGATGAGACTTTTTCCCCTGTTGCAAAGATTTCTTCTATCCGGGTCCTTATTTCCATTGCTGCCAATCGTAATTGGCCGTTGTTTCAATTAGATGTGAAAAATGCTTTCTTACATGGCGACTTAGTTGAAGAAGTTTATATTGAGCAACCACCTGGGTTTGTTGCTCAGGGGGAGTATCGTCATACCATTTGTCGCCTTAGGAAGGCCCTGTATGGATTGAAGCAATCTCCAAGGGCTTGGTTTGGAAAGTTCTCTGCGACAGCATTAGCATTTGGTCTTAAGAGATGTCATTCGGTGTTTCACCAGCACAATAAAGCTGGTTTCATTTTCCTTGTGGTATATGTAGATGACATTGTGATCACAGGTGATGATTCTGAAGGTATTGTTAAATTGAAGTTGTTTCTTCAAAATCAGTTCCACACTAAAGACTTGGGTCAACTCAGCTATTTCTTGGGTATTGAAGTTGCTAGATCCAAGGAAGGTATAAGTTTATCTCAAAGGAAATATGTGTTGGATTTATTAGAAGAAACAGGTATGTTGGGTGGTCGTCCTGTTGATGCTCCTATGGATCCAAATACGAAACTCTTATCAGATGAGGGTGATCTATTTGATGATCTTGGCAGATATCGACGGCTTGTTGGGAAATTAATCTATCTCACTATCACTCGACCGGATATCTCATATGCAGTTAGTGTTGTAAGTCAGTTCATGGGATCTCCTAGGATGCCACATTGGAATGCAGTTCTTCGGATTATCCGATACCTCAAGCAAGCTCCAGGTTTTGGGTTGCTATATAAACCAAATAGACATCTTAGGGTAGAAGGTTTCACAGATGCTGACTGGGCTGGTTCTCCCTCAGATAGGAAATCTACTATAGGCTACTACACATTTGTTGGTGGAAATCTTGTTACATGGAAAAGTAAAAAGCAAACAGTGGTAGCACGGTCTAGCGCTGAAGCAGAGTACAAGGCGATGGCCCATACCTCTAGTGAGTTAACGTGGATACAACACTTTCCTAAGGAACTTGGGTTAATAGTCAAGACTCCTATTCCATTGTTCTGTGATAACCAAGCAACTGTTCATATTGCATCCAATCCGATATTTTATGAAAGAACCAAGCATATTGAAGTTGATTGTCACTTCACCCGAGAGAAAATATTGAGCAAGAACATCTCTACTCCATTTGTGAAGTCAGAAGATCAATTAGCTGATATGTTTACTAAGGCTCTTGGTCATAGTCGGTTAAAAGCAATTAGTTCCAAGCTGGGATTATATGATATATATTCTCCAGCTTGAGGGGGAGTGTTAGAACAGTTATATGTAAATAAGTATTTATGTTGGGGTCATATTGTAATTAGACATAGGGTTTGTGGCCATTATGTAAATAGGCCTTTCTTGTATTGTATATATATTTCTGTTATGTGTAAGGGTTTTAACATATGAAGAAAAGGGGCTACGCCTCTCTCTCTCAACCATCTCTACTCTCTCATTTTACTATCTCTCTCTCCATAATCTATAAATTTAACATGTATTACTCAAAATTATTTTAAATAGAAGTTAATGCATTAATGTCATGTCTTGATCTGCCAATAGCAACCCTATATTAATACTGAAATCCTAAACCAACCTGAACTTCAAAAATTATTTGAAATAAAATAGCTTAAACTTTAGATCCTTAGCTATAACATTATCTAACTCAAAACAAGGGGGGAAAAAGAACAAAGAAATAAAAAATAAAAGAAAAGAAAAAATAACAAGAGGAAGAAAGAAAGAAACTAACTAATTGGCATTAGTTTAGATGGTATGATCTTTCATGTCACATGCAATTTGTTGATGCGCGTGCGCATTTGCTAAAACTTTCAGAAATAAAAATTAAAATAAAAAAAATCTCTGCCACAGAAAAATATGGCCTAACCTTCTGTTTTGAACATGCTTTGTGTCATATGACAAATAGAAGCAGTAGCGAAATATGTGGGCACATGTCCCTTGTGTCATGTTTGGAGATGCCAGCATGCATACAGCGAGGGATTTCTGAAAAAAGTTTTCAGAAAGTTTCACTCTTTTGTGCGTGGTTTCACCTTCTTCAGGGATGCCAGTATGGTCGTAACTATCAATCACAGCTTGCAGAATCTTTGTGGCTCGAAGCTGTGACTCTTTTGATACAATACTATTGAGCTCCATGTATTTTACCATTTTTTTGGCAATTACATCCTTAACAAGAGCCCAACTGCAAAATATAAATACACAAATACTTAGAAATATAACAGACAAATATTTACCTAATTTTGAAAATTTTCAAATTTATAACATTAAATCTTACCTATGCACATCCCAGAATGGCCTTTGGCTTTGGAGACAGTGAACATCATGCGTTCATTGTTTGCAGGAGAAGAAATTGGAGTATATTATGGCCAGTAGTAAACAAGATCATGAACCACTCTTCCTTCTTTATGGCTCACCACAGGTTCCCTTGTAAACCCATCAGATTGTTTGTGGATGTCACAACTTCAATGTATGGCCGTTCTTACTGAATGTATGTGCATCACCATCCCATTTATAAAACCCAGACTTTAGGACAGGGTATGACGGCAAGCAATAAACACTCTTCCTTCTTTATGGTTTACCACAGGTTCCCTTGTAAAACCATCAAGTAGTTTGTGGAAGTCACAACTTCAATGTATGGCCCGTTCTTATTGAATGTATGTGCATCACCATCCCATTTATAAAACCCAGACTATAGGGACAGTGTATGACCGCAAGTAATAAACACGTATAATGGCAGTGAGCCTGGACTTGCTGACCAAACGATGGATCAAAACCACACCATGGCCCTATGCAGTATATTGTCTAGATATCATAGGCCGGTTAACCGAAAGGCAGCTAATTGGACATGAGTAAATCTTGGTGGCTATCAATTCTTTCACAAAGTAGAGCAGTAAAAAAAATTGCTAATTCAAGACAATTTAAGCAAGTCACGTTAAATAAAAATAAAGAAGAACATAATTAAGATTTAAATTTATACCATTTACTTTAGATGCTTAAGAATAACAGCCTGAGATCCGTCAGAGATATTAACTGGTTCGAGAATAGTCTTATAAAGAAATTTAACTATTATTTGGAGATTTCAAAATTCCAGGAGAATTTAAAAAAAAAAAAAAAAAAAAAAAAAGGGAGGTTTCGGTCACCATTTAGAGAGGAAAGAAATATCTATTACAACTTTGAAGTAACATATTTGCCACGTCCAATGCATGTCATCAAATTTAGACATTATTGATGAGTAGTACATGTGTTCCAAAATAAATTCGTGACGTACAATATAAAATTTTAAAAAACGTGCTATGCACATCATAAAAAAAGACGTTGCTTTAAAAAAAATAACATTTAGGATGTGGTCTTAAACCGCATTCATTTGCACATCATAAAAATTTTAATACGGCCCCCATTGCACGCCGTTAGAAAAATCAAGTACTTCTCGCAATTTAGTTGTCAAAAATTCTTTAGAAAAATCAAGTACAACTTGTCACATTATACGTTTTAATGTAACCTTGAAATAATGTTAAGTCACTTGTGCGGTTAACTTTAGAGGTTAAGTCAAACCAAAGATTTAATATTTAATTTTGTGAATCTAGCATTTAAAAAAAAAAAAAAAACACTACAAGCATAAAAAATCATTAAATAACATTTCAAATAAGTGTCTATTACATTAGACACTACAGATCAATAAATCATGCATGTGTGGGTTTGAGAGAGAGAGAAGCAAGGGGTAACGATCTTAGTTGCTAAAGGCATATAAAGAAATAAAAAACAAAACATAAATATCAGATGGGATACAACATTAAAAGTAATTAGAAAGCTAACTACTAATTAGTGTACTAAATGTCTTCTTTCTGATAAGATAAAATTTGTATAGATCAAAATAGTATGAAATGACTTACAGATAAAAGAAAATTGAATTTTGCAATCTTTAAGATTAGCTGACATTGTATAAATGTTCCATTCTCTCCTTTTTAATTACTTTTTTTTTCCCCTTTTTCACTTGGGAAATAAATGTGTATATTACTAATTTCAATAAATAGAAATATCAAGGAGGACAAAACCAAAAATAAGCATGGCTGCTACATTACATGATCAAACCGACAAGTAACGATTTGACTTTTTTTAATTATCAAGACAGCGTATCAGCAAGTTCAAGAATGACTCTTAAATAGCTAATAAGATTTCCATAGAAAGATATTGAACACATAAAAATTAAAAAAAACACTCACTGAGTAGTATGGGGCAGCTGCAACCACAATCATTGACTCAAAAGCATCGAATGGAGAGAGAGCATATGGTGTAGTTTGATAGAGTTGCGAGGAACTCGTTCCAAGTGAGAGAGAGCGCACGAGCACAATGTTGACACAAAGGGTACATGTTTTCAACATTTATATATAGTGAAGTAGAAGAGTTTGCAAGCCTAATGTTTTCAACACGAATATAATATTCTTGATAAATGGATAAAAGAAAATGAAGAAAACCACAGAGATGCCAACACACAACCAAGTATTTTCACTTTACTCTTGCGTGTCTTCATTTTATAAATTTCATCTCCGAGATTTCCGTTTGCAATCCAACTGCGTGCTCCAAAAATTTCGGTCTTGTATCCATTTGTCAAGAACCTTCTATTCGTATCGAAAACATCAGGCTTTGAACCATTAAAAAAAAAATACTTAGCTAAGTGTTGGCAACTTAGAAAAATACAATTAAAGGCTCATTAGTTGCAATCAAACAGTACTAATGCATCTTATAAACTGACCCCTTAAGAGCACTTATTATTAAGGCACAATGCTTTTGAGGGAATTGGTTAAGCTAGATTTAATAGTATTTGATTGGGTGAACATACCAATGCGTGGTAAGCACGACTCAGCCAATATCTTCTCATGAGACCGTGGAATTATTGATTTTTCTTAATAAAGTGCAATTAATACTCAAAATTATTTTAAATTGAATTTGATTCATCAATGTTATGCTTTTAGTTACCAATAGCAACCCCTATGTTAATACTAAATCCTAAACCAACCTGAACCTTAAAAATATCTTGAATCAAACTATCTTAAACTTTAGATCCTTAGTCACAATATTGCGCATCTCAAAACAGGGGGACAAAAAAGGAGCAAGAAGAAGAAAGAAAGAAAGAAAAGAACCAATGGACATTTGTTAGATGGTGTGATTTTTCCTGTTAGAGGCAATATGGTGGGGCTTTTGCTTGAACTTTTGAAAAAAAATATATGTATCTGTAGCAAAGAAAAATATACCCAGTTTTTTTCCCCGAAATCTAAGGCTAAGTTTGGTACAATGGAAAAGAAAATAAATGATAACATTAGTTAGGAGAGAAAAGAAAAGGAAATGAGAGTGTATTGTTAATCATATATCGTGTTTGCTTGATTAATCAAGGAAAAGAAAAGAAAAGAAAGGATAGTAATCATGTTTGGAGAAGGAAAGGAAACGATGCTATTTTATAAATTTACTATCGCACCCTTTTCCATAGGTTTTGTCTTTTATAAAAAAAATACCAAAAATAAGGGCAAAATTGGTATTATAAAAGTTCTATTTAACTTTATAGCCCTTTCCTTTCATTTCCTTCCATTTCCTCCCATTTTTGGAAGGATAATAAAACCCACCCATCATGCCTTTTTTTGTATTCCTCCAAATCCCTCCATTTCCTTTCTTTTCCTTTAATGATTTATACCAAACACAATATAGCATTCCCTCCATGACCTTTCTTTTCTTTTCCTTTCATTTCTCTCGAACCAAACTGGGTCTAAGTGTATACAGCGAGGGATTTCAGGAAAAAGTGTTCGGAAAGAGATGCCAACCTGTATGTGGAACGTTTTCAGGGTTCATGTGGTGTTTGACCGGGTTCATGTGGTGTTTGACCGTAACACTTCCTTCAGATTTTGAGTACATGCAGGGTTCAGATTCTGACGCAAAACTCTGGTTAATGACCTGTCAAAACCCTACTTAGTTTTGACAAGTCACTAACAAGAGTTTTGCATCTCAAGAGCAAACAATAATATTAAGGCAATATGTAAGGTGAAAATTTGTAAATGTATATAGCTTACAAACAAACCCCATAATTAAGGCATAATGCTTTTTCTAGGATTGGTTAAACTAAATTTAAATACTTTTTATTGGGTGGGCATCCCAATGATGTCGTATACCCCATAAGAACATTCATTATTAAGGCATAATGCTTTTTTTGGGATTGGTTAAGCTAGATTTAATAGTTTTTATTGGGTGGGCATCCCAATGACGTGGTATGCCCAGCTCACCCAATATCTTCTTATGAGACTGGAATTATTGATTTGTCTTAATAAGGTGATTTGTCTGCCCTTGGGATGTAATGGAACAGGCAACACTTAATGCCTAAATGTTCTTCAATTATTATTATTATTATTATTTTATATATATATATATATTTTGTGAAAAAGAAAATTGAGAATTGAATAGTTCCTCTGATCAATTGAGAGATGTTTTTCTTAAAAAAAAAGAAAAAGAAAAACAGAGAGAGATAAGTTCTTTTTCCACAAATTTGGAAGCTCAGATCTTAAGATTGCGATTTTGCTCACGATGAACAATCTGATCATTTTAAATGATTTTCAAGCCATCTTATAGCATGGCCTCGTGTTCACATTAGGGTGTAATTTATACAACGAGAGAGGAAAGAGTAAAACGGGGAAGAGATAGAACTTGGTGAAAAAATTGCCGATCTGAAATTTGTCACGATTGCTAGCCACCTCAAATAGAATTATTTTGGCACTGGACAGCGACATAGATACGGCAAAAAGATTGGTTAGAATCACTAGTGTAAGTATTCACTTTTGGAACTCCGACTCTGAACTAAATGTAACAAAAATGTTTAAACATCGCGTTTAGTAACAATATACTATCCTTAACCTTATCGATATCTATATCTATACTACTTATAACAGTCTGAGCACTTTTTATTATTTCTTTACATTTTTCAGTTTTTTTTTTTTTAATCAAAACATTGAATCTGAAGAGGCCACACTAAGTTATGTTTCCAATTTAATATTTCAGTTTTTAATCAAATAGTATTTCAAAAAATAATACACACTTGGGGGAATATTTTAAACGGAATTACGATCTTTTCGGCTCCAATATTGTTGTGGTGTGGGGGCATTTGCTAAAATTTTACAAAAATTATGATAAAATAAATTTCTGTTGCCACAAAGAAATATTTCTGTTGTGTCTATGACAAAAGGATGCAGTAGCGAAATATGTGGGGCATTGTCTAATGTCTTGTGTCATGTTTGGAGATGCCAACATGCATGCAATGGGGGAAAATTTCAGGAAAAAGTTTTTGAAATGTTTTTCACTCTGTATAATTTTTTGTGGTTTTCAATAACTAGAGTTTTTTGTTTCAGGAAATGGTAGCAACTGCAACTTGGTAAAAAAACAATAAAAGACTAATTAGTTGCAATCCAAAGATTAATTTTAGCTTATAAACTGACCTCTTAACTAGGATGTCAATTCAGCTTATAAACTAACCTCTTAATTAGGATGTCAATTCAACCCGACCATCCAGCCAAGCTCCGAACCCACTCCAGTTAATAATAAATATTCGTTTATTAACTATAATTTTTTTTATCATTTATTTATTATAATAATTTTAAATTTTAACATCAATTTTTTTATTATGATTGTTAAATATTCGACTATACTAAAAAATTAACTACTCGAAATTATAGGCAGTGATAAAACATGGTTCGGGAACTATCCATTATCACCAAGTAGATAAGAACAATTCATCAAAATAAATACTGAAGATAATCAAGATGAAATATGATCACCAAATAGGCTTCCCTCAAGATTCTGCTGAAGTCCGACTTATGGGACTTGGCCAGACCACTTTAATTTTGCCCAAAAATTATCCCCTGTTCCTCCAGTCATCAATTGCATGAGAATAGTTCATAAATGATACATATATATCCACGAGAATTCTTATATAAAAATGTTTTGATCTACACATACATGCTACAAATCAAACCTCAAATACATCAAATCCACAAAAAGAATTTTAAAAAGCAATTTATCAAACAATTCATCTACATAACTAAGATAGTCTCCGATTACAAAAGCCAGCACTCCCGTAGCCCCCGAATCAATCACGGGTACCTGCAAAATGATGGGCGAGACAGGAAGTCGCAGTAGGAAGAACCTAACAAGTGTTCCTAAGGGATTTCAGCATAGGAATAGCCATGAGGAACAAGCTTTGCAAATCAGAGAAATATATGCATAATCAATCATATATATACAACAAACAAACAGCTTTCATCAAATTAGGCACAACGATTTCAAGACAATGATAGACAGATTCTGAAGAAATTGGCAAAGCAAATGCAATTCAACAGTGAAGATCATTTTTCATGGCATCAAAAATAGAATAGGAGGCCAATCACACAGAGCAACCCAAGTTAGAGAAAAACCTACATAGCAATCCGATGATGAAGGTCCTACAGACCTTCCCTGGTTTCTCTTTCTCTCTCTAGATTTCCCACCGCTGGGTTTCCTCCTCTCTCTCTCTCGCTCTTCCTTTCTCTCTCTATATTCTGCGCGTTAAAGAAAAATGAGAGCCAAGTTTCAGTGGCAGTCCCTTTTGTTATAAACGTGTGTCCAGGTGGTGTGTGGAGGTGTAAACAAGTGTATACTAAGTTTCATGGAGTGCTGCCATGTGGAACACACTAACTCACTTTTAATAATAACCAAAAGCTCTTCCACATGCATATTAATTACACAAAAGCCTCAAATCTAACTCCTATAATTTCATATGAATCCACTTGTGCCCCAAATTTTCTTGCAAGACATCAAAAACACCCAAAAGATATTACAAAATATCTTCAAAATTTTAAATCAAGTCACGAATCATAACCAAAGCCTAATTAAAGATTCGGATTATTACAAATAATCCCTTAAATTTGTTGAGGCTTGAATTATTTTTGTTGCATAACATGTATACTGGCCTATTTGGAGCGCACCCGCCCTTATTATAATGTAAGACGGAACTAGGCAAGTTTGGAAAACGACTTTTATTCATGAGACAAATTTGAAAAAAGGATCTTGTCAAACCCGTCCCTTTTACGTAGAGCATTTATTATTAAGGTAGAATGCTTTTGGGGAATTGATTTTAGCTAGATTTAATAGTTTTTGGCAAATTCAATGAGATTGTGGAATTATTATTATTTTTTAGAAAATTGATATTGGAGCATATTATCTACCATTAAATTTGTTTCGAGTCGTATTTATGTCTATCACTTAAAACATAAAAGTCCTTTTAATTATAATTTATAGATTTTAGAGTAGCTTGTTCTTTTTTCTTAATAAAGTGCAATTAGTAATACTCAAAATTATTTAAAATGGTATTTAATGCATTAATGTAATTTTATGGGTTGGTGATAGACCCCTATGTTAATATTGAATCCTAAACTTTAAAAATAACATCAAATATTTAACTACAGTATTGTCTATTGCAAAACAGGATAAATAAAAAAAGAAAGGCACAGTATTGTCTATCTCGAAACAAGGAAGAAAAACAAATTAAAAAAAAAGAAAGAAAAAAAACAAAAAGAACCAATCGACATTAATTTAGACATTATGATATGATATCCTACTAAGCTTCGGTACGTGTTTGTTTAAATTTTGGGTAAAGTACAGCCACACTCCTTAAGATTTGGCAAAAGGACACTCAAAGGAAACTTATCTATTTTTTAGACAAAAACACCTCCTAAAGGTTCAAAAATGGACAAAGACACCCCTTTAGATGAAAAATTGACCAAATTACCCTTTGACCGTTTATGAGACTTTTTTAACTTTACAATTTAATAAATTAGACCAATCTACCTTCATGAATAATTTATACATAAAAAAAAAAGTAAAAAAAAAATTTTTTTTTTTAAATTCACCTTTTTTTTTTTTGTTATTTACTTTATAAATGTCTTGACTTCTTAAAAATGTAGACGTCTAAAATGATTTTTTGATTCAATACATATATGTAAAATAAATTATATTTTGTTATTACTTCTTTTCTTTTTCTTTTTTATTTTTAAATTAAGATGCTTAATTCTTTCATCTAAAAAAATTAAACCAATCTCTTTTCCTTAAAAAAAAAAAATATGGTACTAGTATAACTTTATGCATCTTAAATTATATATCAAATATTATGCATTTTCTAATATAAAAGAAAATAGGTACCAGTATAACTTTATGCATGCCTTTGTTTTATTTTTTTGTCCCTTTGTTTTATTATTTTTTTCCCCTTTTATGTTGAAAAATGCATAATATTTTATATATAATTTAAGATGTATAAAGTTATACTGGTACCATATTTTTTTATTTTTTAAGGAAAAGAGAGTAGTTTAATTTTTTTTGGATGAAAGAATTAAGCATCTTAATTTTAAAATAAAAAAGAAAAAGAAAAGAAGTAATAACAAAATATAATTTATTTGAAATATACGTATTGGATCAAAAAATCATTTTAGACGTCTACATTTTTAAGAAGTTGGGACATTTATAAAGTAAATATAAAAAATAAAAAATAAATAAAGAAGTGAACAATATAAGGTTTTTTTATTTGTTACTTTTTTTATGCATAAATTGTTCATGATGGTAGATTGGTCCAATTTATTAAATTGTAAGGTTAAAAAAGTCTCCTAAACTATCAAAGGGTAATTTGGTCAATTTCTTATGTAAAGGGGGTGTCTTTGTCCATTTTTGAACCTTCAGGGGGTATCTTTGTCCAAAAAATAGGTAAGTTTCATTCGAGTGTCCTTTTGCTAAACCTCAGGGGGTGTGACTGTACTTTACCCTTAAATTTTTAGACATAATGAAAAATAAAATCATGATCTTAAAATGAAAAATAAAATCATAAACGTAAGTTATAATTTTATCACAGTGTGACACAAAACTCTATTCTTTTATTACTTATTTTAACTTTGCAAACCAGAAATGTAAAATTCTTATGCTGCTTTTGGTGTTTAGGATTGAAATGGAACGTTGATCCGAACATTTCGTAATTTGGTATGAAATTTAAAATAAAAATAACTATTACCTTGAAATAAAAATTCATTCCACAATTTAACCCAAGAAAGGTAAGTTCATAAAGCTGCAACAACTTTCACATGGTTGTTGCTCACCAATGCTTATAATTTGGTGCTGGTTAAAATGGTAAGTAGGTTTGTATAAATTATAAAATATTAAAATTCTTAAATGATGATTTTACCCTTATACACTCATTACACCTATATACCTATATATATATATATATATATATATATATATATATATATATATATATATAGGTTTTGGTGGCGTATGTCGTGGCTGGTTGAATCTTTGGGGCAGGTCTAGATGTATGGTGGTTTGAGAGAAAAATTGAGTTTCTCCCGGTAACCAATTTAAACCTATTTGATCTTAGGGTATTTAAGTCAAGTATATTTGTCAATTTTACATAAATGGGTAATAAAGTTAATTCATCATTGTTGGGGTGTTTTTGTCAATTTTATCAAACTTAAGAGGGGTCTAAAAATAGGTCAACTTGTATCTGTTTTTCTATCAAACCTCCAAAGGTGTCATTCTATTTTTACTTCTTTTTTTTTTTTTTTTTTTTTTTTAATCCTTAACCCATTCGATTTTCAAGAATTAGTCAATTTTCAATTATTGGAATTCAAAGCAAATCATATACAACCCATTGTTCCCAATTCAAATATCATGTGGTAAGCCAAATGAGTTTAGTTGAGATAATTACTATTATTTAAGAGAGAAGTAGCCACCACTTTATTTATTTATTTTTTATTTAATTCAGTTTCTTATTCTCATTTTTACTTAAATTTTGGAGAAAGTTTAATTAATTTTGGCAGTTTCCTTATAATGCCATGGTTCCTTCTGAGGATAGATTCCATATGGTGTTAGGATTCCTTAATTATAAATACACGTAGGTAGAATTCACAAGTCGATCGATTAATCTTTTGAACTTGCAACCAGGACGGTGAAGAAACTGATCAAGGTGCAGCCAGGACGGTAAAGAAACTGAAGGTGCAGCCATGTCTATGAAAGCAAGCAAATAAACGTTTACGGACTGTGACGAAAGGAGAAGTTGAAAGTGCAGCCATGTCGTCGAGAACAAATAAAAGAAACTGCAAAGAAAGAGTCATGCCTTACTTTCCGGACCATGTCATTGATGGAATACTGTCAAAATTGCCTGTCAAGTCTCTGTTGCGATTTAAGTGCGTATCAAAAGCATGGCACTCTTTGATCTCTGAACCTGACTTCATCAAAGCACATCTCTTCCAAAGATGATATGAGAGACTACTAATGATTTCCCCGTTCAGTCATTATCTCTATTCCATAAACCTTGAACGACCAAGAATCATTAATGACATTGAAGCAATGAATAGTAGTGATATTGGGTCCCAAATAATTGGTTCTTGTAATGGGTTATTATGCATAAGTATTCGCATCTCTCATTTATATATAGTTAATGTGATACCCCTCGATTCTAGAGCCACGGGTGATCAAGTCCGGGCACAAATCCGAAGGATACCAGACAATTAATATATAAACAAGCAGGAATAAAACTGAATTTAAGAATAAAATAATTATATGCTGAAAAGAATTATAATTATAAAACCTCCAAAATAAATTTTTTAATATAAATAAACTTTCCAATCCGTACAACTCGGGAATCCATCTAGTGGACCCCTAATAATTCCAACTGGTAAAACATTTACAGAATTAAAATCCAAAACCAAAATAAGAAAGAAAATCATATGTAGTCGGAAGAGTGAGTGACTGTATCTGCATCACCACGATCAAACCCTAAGCCTGGTACTCAAGAACACCTGAAAAATAAAGGTGGGTCAGGCCCACATGCAAGTTCCATCCTACTACAATCCGTACATAAACCCGATACGCAGATACATCCTAGATAGCTCGGCAATATCTACAATAATCCATAGATATATAAATACACACTATAGGATGCTCACTAGCCTATAACATAGTTCAGCCTGGGTAGAAGGTGACATATAAAACACGCTTTTCAGCGGCCAAGTACCTAGACCTACCAGAGAACATTAGCTATATCTAGCTACTCAACCTTTGCAATATACGCACCCTAACCGTGATCAGGAGACTCAAGCTCGTATCACGGTACCATAAATATATATATAAATTCTTTCCTAATGCAGAAAAATAAAACAAACATCCGTTATGTCGTTCAACTGTTTTAGTTGACAGGACATGCATCCATGTAGGATTTAACTATTTTAGTTAATCCATTCCGTATGTATGAAAGGGTTAGGACTTAGCTTTTTGATCTAATCCATCCCTGATATGTCACCGTCTCATACCGGTACATATAATGAATATGATCCACACATGATGCACACCCAAAATGAACATCAAGTATATCCAGAACCAACATAATAGAAATCAGATATAGATAAGCTCCTATCATGCATCCAGTATATGATTATATTCATAGATGCTCCTTTTAAATTGTTAAAATAAGAATAAACAATTTAAAACATCCATTTCCATGTAATTGACAGAACCAAAATTAAGACAGTTCAGCAATTATCCTCCATAACATAATATAATGAATATCAGAATTTTAAACTGCACATTATACTAGAATTCCAAATCAACACATCCATACTAGTTCGTTTTAAATGTTAAAATGATGACTAGCATTTACATCCTCCCATATCCTTTACGGCATGCAAATTTATAATTAAATCTCATGGCATCTATGTAATTCCCCATTATAAATTATGTGTCGGATATAATGACACTCCAAAGTTTAAGTACATCATATGAAACTTCAAAAGTATTTTATACCAGTTTCATTTAATTTGCTGACACGAAACTAGCAACTAACCTTCCACTACTCCCGACAATATACAACTTATTAGATACGAGTACATGACGTCATAACCAACATTCCTGGAACTGAACTATGCTAAATATATCATTGATATAAATTCTAACAATAATTACAATGTCAGTCCAAATTAAGTTGTCAAAACAACTTAGCAAAACAAACATTCCTCCTTCCTTGACAGTAGGCCTATTATAAGCTTATGTTTTATGACATGCATTTAGGTTTAGCGCCTTAGCATAAACCAACTATTTGAAGGCTTTAACAAGTTAATTTTAATCATTTAAAACCCCCCACCACTTTCCAGTAATTACCTTTAAGCCCCTAAACTTCAGAAAAATTGCAGAAAACACCCGTAGGGGTTTTTTTCCCATGGGAGCCGGCTCCCCTTTATTGGAGCCGGCTCCTAGGCTTCTAGAGCCGGCTCCCCTTTATTGGAGCCGGCTCCTAGGCTTCTAGAGCCGGCTCCCCCTCATGGAGAGCCGGCTCTCTCTTCAAGGGAGCCGGCTCCCACCATTCGGGAGCCTGCTCTCTCCCTGAGAGCCCCTCTGCCTCATCTCTACTTCGTCCGATGATTTTTCTGCGTTTCCGGCGAAGTCCGACGTTCCTGTCCCAAGTATTTTAACATTCCTAGGGTTCAATTTAAATTCTTAAAGCCCTAGAAACTTCTCACCATCCAGCATGCATTAATTGACAAAAATCTAAAACAAAAACAAAACCGTATCCAAAAACGCCAATCACAGTTAACTGAACATATGAACAATCTAAAGTCTGATCACATGTGTCAAAATTCCATTTTAAAGATTAATTAACTTCCTAACCATCCTAACAACACCCCATATTCCATTATGAATTAATTTATAGAGGTTTAATACATAATCTAACAATTTATGCAAGGAAAGCCATCTTCAGTTATTATACGTTAACCAAATTTCAGACTAAACTAATATGCATAAAATTTGTTTTAAAAGTTTTAATTAAATTCCCGGAGTCTATTTAGAATGCACAGAACACAAGTTTACAGGAAGGAGAGAATGAAACTTGCCTTTAAATTTCGTTTTGAAACCTTACAGCAGCATCGTCTCTAAGTTCCAGAATTCTCTTATACTGCTCCCACCTCTGACCATTGTTCCATTCCTCTGTTCTTCCTCCTTAGCTTCATAGATTAATACTACGTGAATAATGTTTTATTCTACCCCTTGCAGACTACACAAGAATTTACACATTGAAGTGTATACAACCCTCTCTATGTAACTCTGTTTTTCCTCTTAAATTACCCCTACGTGAATAGGGTTTTCTCCCAAAACCCTTGCAACATATATCGTTATATATATATAGACTCCTCTGAAACCCTAAATCCCAAATCCAGTAATCATAACCCTAAGTCCAGCCCAACTACAAGTCGGCTACCTAATTACTTAACACCAAAACCCTAAACGTAAATATAACTACAACCATATAACTTAAATCAAATAAGTCACACAAACCATTTAAAAACACGTAATAATAATAAAAAAATACCAATTAATCAAATAAATAAAATAAATCCCAATTGTACGTAATTAAGTTAAAATAAATAAACAACATAAAACAAATACACAATACCAATTTTAAACAAGTAAAACAATTAACCACTTAGCCAGATACTCATATTTAAATGCACACAAAACAAATAATCAATTTATCAATTTAAAATGCACATAAATAATTAATTAAATTTCCATTATATCCTTTTTAAAATTAGGGGTATTACAGTTAATCTTTCAACAGGAGTCTGGAAAAAAGTACCGGATCAGGGGTTTAATTGGTTCTTTACGGTACAGGGATTTGGCTATGACCACATTGTTGATGATTACAAAGGTTTGCGCATGTATTCACTCAAAACCAATTCTTGGAAAAAGGTTGAGTCACGGTTGCCTCACAAATATGACATCTTTTTACCCTACGGGACATCTCTGAATGGAGCCATCCATTGGGTTTGTAAAGACTATGAAAGAAAGCGGTATGTGATTGTTGCTTTCAGCTTGGTGGATGAGAAATTCTCCAAGATTGCGGTGCCGGTCCAGGAGCCAATCAATTCACTCGATTTAGGAGTGTTTAGAGGATGTCTTTGTATGTCAAGCCTTCAGAAAGGTGAATTTTGGGTGATGAAGGAATATGGCGTTACACGGTCTTGGACTAATGTTGCCAATGAAACTCCCAAGTCATTGGTTTTGATGAAGAACGATGAATTGAAGAATGATGAATTATTGTTTTTGACAGACTCCAAGAAATTCGTTTTATACAACATGAGAGAGAGGACTAGTAAGGACCTAATACTTCCAGATGCTGCAACCGTGGGTAAATTTTATAAAGTAAGTGGCTATGTGGAGAGCCTCATATCACCCATCATGAGAGTTTGAATTAGAGTCAATTTTTTAAATTTAGGAAGATAGAATTATTTCGATTAAGTAACAAGTTATGTCTTTTCCCGTAACAAGTTATGTCTTTTCCCGTAATTGTTTTCCTTCCTTCTTTTTCACTCTCTTGTAATGTAAGGTAAATTTTATAGCAGATCGGAAAAAAAAAATTTGTACAATACGAGGCTACCTACTAATTAGTAATTACTACGCCCCAGTATACTTTTGTTTTGCTTAAAGTATGCCATAAGATATATTTGTAATTTTATGATTTGCATGGGCGTCAGGAACGTTTGGTCTAAATTTGTGGCTTAGCTCACTATGGTTGAGCTAACGAGAACCGAACAAATATTCTTGATCATCGAGTGAATTATTTATCTAACTTTGCTATTGTGGAAAGTAGGAATGACCTTTTCACTAATTCGTTCTTTTAATCCTAACTAAAAGATTATTTTACTATTACTATTTTTTTTGTAAGTTCAACTTAAAGATTATGTTACATCTTGGAAGTGAGGATTGTGATATTAATGCTTTGTTCGGTAGGAAAGGAAAAAATTGGATGGAAGTGAGAGGAGAAGGGATGAATAAGAATCACATCCTAGAAAAAAGATTGTATATTTCCTCATTTTTGTTCGGTTTGATAGAAGAGAAGAGAATAAACTTTTAAGTAGGAAATTAGAGCATCTCCAGCAGTCTGATAAAATATTCTTTTATATAAAATATACACTGCCACGTATGATGTGTAATTTTTTTAATCTCCAAAAGTCTGTGAAGATACACTGACACATCACCAATGTGTAAAATTATTGTGTATTTTACACAACCACATCAGTATATTTTCTTTATCCTTCCCTCTTTCTCATTTCATTAACTAATCAACCCTATATTAATAGGCTTGTAAAAATTATGTGGGTCTAGGCATGACACTGAACAACCGCTGAAGCTAAAAATAAATAATTCATAATTTTTGTATAAATCTATTATGGCACATCACATTTACGCAAAAAAAAATATATACATAACGATTGGAGATGTTTTCGCTACACTTAATAGTACTATTGTTTATTGTAATTAATGAAAACTTGAAATTATTCAACTATTTGATGCTTAAGTACTATATATGAAGTGTTATAAGGGGTGTTTGTCCCACATCAGATTCAAATGGAAAGTGAAAGGAGTATAAATTGGTGGGTATGCAACACTACCCAATAATTTAAGTTTTTTGATAAATAGATAAGCGCTCAGACCGGCCCTAACGCAAGGCAACCAAGGCAATTGCCTAGGGCCTCATAGTCTAAGGGACCTTAGATTTTAGAAGGCCATGCATGCTTGATGGGCCACAAAATAAAATAATAATAATAATAATAATAATAATAATAATAAAATTGTAACCAAATGCACAGCAAATCATTAAGGGGCTCAAAATTCATAGCTCATGAATGAGTGATGGGCCACCCAAAAAAAAAAAAAAAATTGTAACCCAGCAAATCATTTAAGGGGCCTGAAAAAAAAAAAAAAAAACAAATGCCAGCAAATCATTTGAACCGCCTGGGCACCTCCAAGTCCTATTCCAATCTCCATTCTTGTAACTCTCTTTCTCAAAATCTCAACAGACTCGACTCTCAAGACTCAAGCTTACCCCCCTCTCTCTCTTTGCCCGCGCCTCTCCAAGATTGCAACCATAACAATTAATTTTTTTTCCTCAAAAATTAAAAGTTCAAAACCCAGAAAATTGAAAAAATCACAATATCACATCATCATCGTCTTCACAATTCACGTTTCTGTTCCTCTCTCTCTGTCAGACTATTCCAGACTTCCGGTTCGGGTTCGACGATTCGTAACTCACAAGGGTTGTTGTTGTTCAAGTTCAACACTTCGACTCTAATTCAAGTAATTCTTAAACCAAAAAATTATTTTGATTTAATTTGTCCTATTCTTCTGTGTGAACTGTGAACTCAATGAATTTGCCGTAATATAGGAGTTCCAATTTAACAATCCTTCACACTTCACTTGAAGACATATATATCAATTAGACATCTCATGAGGTATTTTTGTTTTTCTGTAAATCATTTCATTTAGACATCTCATAAGCAATCATTCACTTGAAGACATATCATTGAGCCATTGAGGTAATCTATATTTTCTGTTAGTAAAGCAATTTTTTTTTTTTTAAGTTTAGTTTTATGTTGATTGTGTTTCCTGTTATTTAGATTTCAAGATTCTTGACAATTATGTATACAAGAAAATTTGAATCTTGGTATGAAAAAAAAGAAAAAAAAAAAAAGAAGAAGAATTGATTCAATCTCAAAAAAGTGCTATTCATAAGTTTTTTTAGGAACAATGCACAAACTGAGAGTTTAGTTGAAGATTTGTTGAATGAAGAACATAGGAATGAAGAAAATCTTAATGAACATGGAGATTTAATGAATGAAGATACGAATGAGAATTAAAATGAAGAAAATGTTAATGAACTTGAAGATTTGGTAAATGAAGAGTATATTAATGATAATGATAATCTTCCTTTGAACATTAATGATCCAGGAAATTGAAAAGATATTGCTAAAAAAATGAGAGATTTATTAGTTGAAAGAGGTCCTCCAAGAGATGCTAAACTTGAAAATTTTCCTAAAAATTCAAAAAATAGACATTTATCTTCTACATATTACATTCGACACTTGTCAAACGGTGAAAAACATGAAAGGAGATGACTAATCCATTCGAGTTCTTTGGACAGAGTTTGCTTTTGTTGTAAGTTGTTTAAATGTGACGAACAAAAAACTCATTTGGTGAATGAAGGGGTAAATGACTGGAAAAATATTTGTGACAAACTTAAAAGTCACGAGACTAGTCGTGAACACATTGTTAACATGGGGAATATTGGATTGAATTAGAAATCAGATTACAAAAAAATGCAACAATCGATAAAAGTGTCGAAGAAAAAATCAACAAAAATAGAGAACATTAGAGGCAAGTATTATTGAGAATAATTTATGTTGTGAAAACTCTTGCTAAAAATAGTTTGGCATTCCATGGGGACAATGAGAAGCTTTATGAAGAAAATAATGGAAACTTTTTAAGCATAATTGAAATGATTGCTGAATTTGATTCGTCGAATTCAAAATAGAAAAATTCATTATCATTATCTTAGTCACAAAATTCAAAATGAATTTATTCTTCAGATATCCAATGAAATCAAATATGTAATCATTAAAAGGGTTAAAGAAGCAAAATACATTTTAGTTATTCTTGATTGTACTCCGGATGCAAGTCATGAAGAGCAAATTTTACTTATATTAAGATGTGTTAATGTTTCAGTAAGTCCGATAAATGTAGAAGAGTTCTTTTTAGGATTTCTAAAGGTAGATAATATATCAGGGTAAATGGTCTTGAACTTGATATTGGTGATGTAAGAGGACAAGAGTATGATAACGGTTCTAATATGAAAGGAAAACACAAAGGTGTACAAAAAAGATTACTAGATATAAATCCTAAAACATTCTACACTCCGTGTGGTTGTCATAGTCTTAATTTTGCACTTTGTGATATGGCAAGCTCTTGTTCTAAAGCATCATCTTTTTTTGGAGTTGTGCAACGCATGTATTCATTAATGTTTTCATCTTCCACAAAGCGATGGAAAGTTATCACAGACAATGTTAAAGGTTTTACACTTAAGTCACCATTACAAACACATTGGGAAGGTCAACTAGAAAGTGTTAAAGCAATAAGATTTCAAGTTCCAGATATAAGAAATGTTTTAATTCACTTAGCAAGTACTAGTGAAGATCCCAAAACAAAGAGTGATGCTGAATGCTTAGCTATTTATGAAATTGAGAATTTTGAGTTCTTACTTGGCATGGTTATTTGGTTTGATATATTGAATGCTATTAACAAAGTAAGCAAAATCATGCAAACAGAGGACATGCAAATTGATGTTGCTATAGATCTCTTAAAATCATTCATTTCATTTTTTGAAGCTTATAGAGAATAATGGATTTAAATTTGCTATGATTGAGGCTAAAGAGATCACAACTAAAATGGAAGTTGAACCATTATTTCGTGAAAGACGTGTCATTTATAGAAAGAAACAATTTGACGAGAGTACTAATGAGGAGATGACACAATCGGCCGAAGAATCGTTTAAAGTTAATTACTTTATATACATAGTTGATCAAGCTCTTTCTTCGCTAAAGAGTAGATTTGAACAATTTCAACAATATGATGACTCTTTTGGATTTTTGTTTAATTTGGAGAGGTTGAAGTATGTAAATTAATAATGATAGTTTGAAGTGTTCATGTCATAACCTTGAAAATATTCTAAAACATGAAATGGTTTCTGATATTGATGGGACTGAATTATTTTTAGAGCTATAAGTCTTCAGAGAAACTTTACCAAAAGAAACAAAAAAGGCAATTGAAGTATTGGATTTTATAAAAAGGCTAGGTTATTGTTTTCCAAATGCTTGGATTGCATATAGATATTATTGACTATCCTTGCATCTGCTGAGAGAAGCTTTTCAAAGTTAAAGTTAATCAAATCTTACATGCGGTCGACGATGACACAAGAGAGATTGAATGGATTGACTATGTTGTATATTGAAAAAGAAGTGTTGGAGAAAGTTGATTTGACAACTTTAATTGATAATTTTGCATCTCAAAATGCAAAATGATCACATTTACTTTAATGAAAATTTTGCACTTATATATATATATATATATATATATATATATATATATATATATATTTTGCGCATGTGAAACTTATGTATAGAGGGCCTCACATTTAAAGTTCGTCTAAGGCCTCTCAAGATTTTTTCAACCTCAGGGCCGCCCTGTAAGCGCCCAACCGTTACAGTTGGTATCAGAGCCAAACTCAATCCTTGATCAAATACCACGCCAAGCGCTTGACCCAGAAAGAGTCCTGATTAGCCACCCGTGTAGACAGGATGGCCCAACCGCTAGGGGTGGGCAAATAATCCTCGAATCCAATCCAATCCATTTCGTGTGGATCAGATCACAGATTGGGTTGTTAAAAATTCGATAATTTAATGGATTCTAATGATATATTAGTTAATAATTATTTAAATATATTAATTAATATAAATAAAGATTAGTGGTAAGCCAGATGAGTTTAGTTAAGATAATTACTATTATTTAGGAGAGAAGCAGACACCACTTTATTTATTTATTTTTTATTTAATTCAGTTTCTTATTCTCTTTTTTACTTAAATTTTGGAGAAAGTTTAATTAATTTTGGGCAGTTTCTTTATACTGCTTTGGTTCCTTCTGAGTTTTGAGATAGATTCCAAATGGTGTTAGGATTCCTTAATTATAAAAACACGTAGGTAGAATTCACAAGTCGATTAATCTTTTGAACTTTTCGTTAAGGTTTACGGACGGTGAAGAAACTGAAGGTACAGCCATGTCTACGAAAGCAAATAAGTGCAGCCATGTCTATGAAAGTAAGCAAATAAACGTTTACGGACTGTGACGAAAGGAGAAGTTGAAAGTGCAGCCATGTTGACGAGAACAAATAAAAGAAACCGCAAAGAAGGAGTCATGCCTTACCTTCCGGACCATGTCATTGTTGGAAGACTCTTAAAATAGCCTGTCAAGTCTCTGTTGCGATTTAAGTGCGTATCAAAAGCATGGCACTCTTTGATCTCTGAACCCGACTTCATCAAAACACATCTCTTTCAAAGATGCTATGAGAGACTACTAATGATTTCCCCACTCAGTCATTGTCTCTATTCCATAAACCTTAAACCAAGAATCATTAATAACATTGAAGCAATAGAGATTAGTGATATTCCGTCTGAATGGTTTCAAATAATTGATTCTTGTAATGGGTTGTTATGCATAAGTATTCGCAACTCTCATTTATATATAGTTAATCCTTCAACAAGAGTCTGGAAAAAAGTACCGGGTCCGGGGTTTAATTTCTTTACGATACAAGGATTTGGCTATGATCACACTGTTTGATTATAGAGTGTTGAATGGATCAGACAAAGACGACTTCCAGATGTATTCACTCAAAACCAATTCTTGGAAAAAGGTTGAGTCATGGTTTCCTCACAATAACGACATCTTTAGACCCTACGGGGCATCTCTAAATGGAGCCATCCATTGGGTTTGTGATGAATATGAAAGAAAGCGGTATGTGATTGTTGCTTTCAGCTTGGTGGATGAGAAATTTTCCAAGATTGTTGTGCCGATCTGAGAGCCAATCGATGTACTCGATTTAGGAGTATTTAGAGGATGTCTTTGTATGTCAAGCCATGTGAAAAGTGAATTTTGGGTGATGATGGAATATGGCGTCACACGGTCTTGGACTAATGTTGCCATTGAAACTCCCAAGTCTTGGGTTTTGATGAAAAACGATGAATTATTGAAAAATGATGAATTATTGTTTTTGACAGACTCCAAGAAATTCGTTTTATACAACATAAAAGAGAGGACTAATAGGGAACTAATACTTCCAGATGCTGCGGCCGTGGGTATATTTTTAAAAATAGGGGGCTATGGAGAGCCTCGTATCACCCATCATGAGAGTTTGAATTAGAGACAATTTTTAAAATTTAGGAAGATAGAATTATTTCGATCAAGTAACAAGTTATGTCTTCTCCCGTTGTTTTTTTCCTTCTTTCTTTTTCACTTGCTTGTAATGTGTGGGTGTCACTTATCAGACACTGATGTGGCACGTTGACAAGTCAATACAACCCTAGCTAAATCCTCCGTGGCAAGTTGAAAAGTTAAAAGCCTCGAAATATCAAATCTCGAGCACTCTAAACCCTGGCATCGCTCCAAGCCCTCAAGCCTTGAAAGATCAAATCTCGAGCACTCTACGCCCTGGCATTACCCCAGGCCCTCGAGCCTCGAAATATCAAATCTCGAGCACTTTAAGCCCTGGCATCGCCCCAGGCCCTCAAGCCTCAAAAGATCAAATCTCGAGTACTCTAAGCCCTGGCATCGATCCAGGCCCTCAAGCCTCGAAAGATCAAATCTCGAGCACTTTAAGCCCTGGTATCACTCCAGGTCCTTGAGCCTCGAAATATCAAATCTCGAGCACTTTAAGCCCTGGCATTGCCCGTGGTCCTCAAGCCTCGAAAGATCAAATCTCGAACACTCTAAGCCCTGGCATCGATCCAGCCCTCAAGCCTCAAAAGATCAAATCTCGAGCACTCTAAGCCCTGGCATCGATCCAGGCCCTCAAGCCTCGAAAGATCAAATCTCGAGCACTTTAAGCCCTGGCATCGCTCCAGGCCCTCAAGCCTAGAAAGATCAAACCTCGAGCACTTTAAGCTCTGGCATCGCTCCAGGCCCTCAAGCCTCGAAAGATCAAATCTCGAGCACTTTAAACCTTGGCATTGCTCCAGGCCCATCAAGTCTCGAAAGATCAAATCTCGAGCATTCTAAGCCCTGGCATCGCCCCAGGCCCAATAAGCCTCGAGAAGCTGATCTTCGAGCATTCCAAGTCCTGGCGCCACACCAAGCCCATCAAGTCTCGAGAGACAGACTCTCGAATATCCCCAATCCTGGTGTTACGCCAGACGATGTTGTCTAAAAAGATCGGAGCTCCTTAGCACAAGATGAAGGTAGGATCTTCGTGTTATAGGAATCCATGTTTGGGAAACTTAAGAGGATCTTGGATTGATGGATGAGAAGTTAAGAGGTACTTTCGCTCTTGGCAAGGCCCAATTAACAAGATGATGGGATTATACACGTCGTGATAGCAAACCTTAAAATCACAATTAATGCTGTGTCAAGCTTGACCAACTGACGGCCAAGCAACATTTAATACCTCTGATTAGGGGAGAAGTGACATGGCAACATGGGACAAGGCTCGAGGAAATAATTAGACCCTTCAGACCCCTAAATCTTCAGGATTACTCATGTAATCCAGATTTGGGGTAATGCATGCGAGGAACCATGCATAGAAGGGACCATTGGATAATGACCAATGAAATCTAGATCTATAAATGGCACTGTCCTATGAAGAAAGAACCAACCTCCCGAACGAAAGAAAAGCTGTCATAAAATACTGTATACTCGCCCTACCACTTTCTTGATCTTGATAGTTAGTCTTCTTTTCCTCCTCCTACACTGAGCATCTCCTCTGTTTTCCTTCGTATATGTATTCCTGATATCTCTATTTTATTGCTATTTTATTACCTAGTAAAAAAAAACCCTTACATTTTGGCGACTCCACTGGGGATATCAGTACAAGCAGATAGAATTATAGGATATGCCGACTCACCATTCAGAGCCCTTTGTTAGAGGTGGTGGTGACGTTCCTCTTCAATCCCAGGCACCGTCACATGCTTCCAATGGTTGTGCGCCGCATATCGCAATGCCGGAAAGCTCAGTGGCCCTTTCTGTTCATGAGGAGTTGTTGCAGTCCAATTGTGATCTTAACGACCGCCTTGATAGGTTGGAGGCCTTGATCATGCAGAGTGCACGAGCCAAAACTATTTCTCCCACTAGAGTGGCCCTTCCTGAGCATAACCAGCCAGGTAGTTCATCTACTCATGTGCCACCGTTATGGTATCCGCCGACGTAAGCCCAAGCAGCCCCAAAGCCCACCCCAGTTCAAATAGTTCCACTGGCAAACCCCTCCCCGGAATATGTCACTAAATCTATGTTACGTGATTTTTTCATGAAGCATGCCCCATCGGCTGCATGTGCGTTAGTTTTGCGTACGGAGCCTCTTTACTCAAAAAGCCTGGCTCAAACACCATACCCACAGGGGTACATCATCCCAACATTTCCCAAGTACGACGACATCAAAGGGGATGCCGATGAGCACTTGTAAAGATTCGTGGAATCTCTAGGCCAACATAGCCATGACGAAATCCTACGCCTGCGAGAATTCTCCAAGTCTCTCACCAGGCTCGCGTACAGATGGTTTCGTAATCTCGAGCCAGACTCAGTCACCACTTGGCAACAACTCTCCCAAAAATTCCATGATAAGTTTGGTCAAGCCATCAAGAGGGTCACTATTTTCTCTCTCACCAAAGAAACGCAAGAATCTCACGAAGAGCCCCTCAAGTTCATTCTCGTTTCCAGACCCGTGCGAGGGAATACTTCGAGGGTAGCAGTGAAAGAGATCTGGTTGATATTTGCATACAAGGCATGGCTAAGACCTACAGGATACACTTGGTCAATCTGGGTCTCAACAACTTCAGCGATCTCACCACAGCTGTACGGAACATTTGTAAAGATTTCGCACCTCCCAAGGCAGAGGTCGCTGGATAGGTCACTCGCAAGGACACGCCGGTTGCTCCTCGCAATGACAGGGCAAAAAAGCGTCACAAGACAGATGTTAGGGCCAAGGGATCTTGAGCTGAGCGAACGAATGATCCTCCCCCATTCCCGGTATGTATGGAAGAAGTTGCCAATACTCTCGAACAATGGGTCAAGCACGGTGTAATCGTGCTGCCTGTCCCTCACAAAGAGCCCCCCGCGCAGGATCGTGCGAGTCCAAATTTCTGTATTTTCCACCAAGCCACTACACATTTAACAAGTGCATGTAGGACTCTGAGGCGAATTTTTTAACAACGGCTCGAGGGTGGTGATCTCGAGTTGACCGCGCCAAAGGATGTGCGGCGCAATTAGTACCCTTGTTATCGCGGAGTGGCTGTGGTCACGTATTATGACGAGTTGGAAAAAACCAATCCCACGCAATCAAAGGTTCAAGCACAGTACGGCGAGGAAGAGTACCGTGCAGCCGCTTCATCAAGTCAACCCTCCTTTCACCAGGCTCCATTGACTATTTCTTTCTCTGAATCTGACAAGGGTCTCTACCCCTCAGAATCGTCCACTCTATGTCACTGCACAACTCAATGGTAGGGAGTTCCGGCGCGCTTTTCTAGATAACGGGTCTTCCATCAACATCATGCCATGGGCCACCTTTCAGAAAGCTGGTTTGCCTCAAGATTGCCTTGTCAAAGAAACCATCAAGGTTTATGGTTTTGGCAATGAATCCCACCAGACTCTCAACTATGTAAATGTTGATCTCGCGGTTGGTAGATTTCGAGCTCCCACCAAATTCCATATCATCAAGGCTGATACATCCTACCATGTGCTCCTCGGGCGGGCGTGGATGCACCTTTTCGGCATAGTAGCTTCAACCTACCATCAATATTTCAAGGGCATCTTGGGTAACAAGGTCATCACAGTTTCGTGCTCTGATAAGCCTTTTGCCAAGCATGAGGCACACTTTACTGAGGCTCTTTTCTTTGATGAGTTGGATGATGAGGATGAAGAAGTAGAGGCGCATATAATTTGTACTCCGCTACCTAAATGGGAGGAGGTACAGCAGGGCATCTTTTACCCTCCACAGCAGTATGTTCATCGTCGCGCTGCAGAAGTCGCTACCCCGCGGGAGTGCAAACGAGTGAGGCTGCCGGATGGTCAATATGTCTATATCTTATGACAGTATACGGGCGCCGCCTTGGCGAGCCCAATTGTTGAGCCTACGAGTGTAAAGGAGGAGCCACTGCAACTGCCGGATCTCAAGGAAGTCAATCTCGCCCCTGCAGGACGAGAACCACTGACAACTTTCATTTCCTCGCAATTGGACCCATCGTTGCGAAATGGCCTTCTTTGCCTCTTGAAGGAATTCTCGGACGTCTTCGCATGGACCTATAACAAGATGCCAGGACTTGACCCCCAGCTCGTGACACATCATCTCAGTACCATCCCAGGCTCGCGCCCTGTCAAACAAGCACCTCGCATCTATAGACCTGAGCTCGAGCTTCAGATTAAGATAGAGGTAAAAAATTTACTCCTTGCAGGATTCATTAAGCCAATCTTACATCCAACTTGGCTGGCAAATATTGTTCCAGTGAAGAAGAAGAACGGACAAATTCGGTTCTGCGTTGATTTTCACGATCTCAACAAGGTATGCCCGAAGGATGATTTCCCTCTTCCTATCATTGACACGCTGGTTGATGCAACAGCCGGGCATTCACTTTTCTCCTTCATGGATGGGTATAGCGGCTACAATCAGATACGAATGGCCGAAGGAGATACCCACAAGACTGCGTTCCGGACACCACTTGGCAATTTCTACTACACTGTCATAGCTTTCGGTTTAAAGAATGCTAGAGCCACATATAAAAGAGCCATGACTGCCATCTTTCATGATATGTTGCATCACACGGTGGAAGATCATGTCGATGACTTGGTCGTGAAATCCAAACGGCGAGAGGATGATCT